CGAACTCGACCGGCGCCGTGTAAACGAAAGGCGTAACCGCATCGAAACCGATGCGGTTACAAATGAGACCGCGTCCGTGTAAACAGTGCCTGAGACAAACAGGAACGAGTTTTGAGTGATATAATTAGCCAAGACTACCACCGTCATTTTGGATCTAAGCCTGGGTAGATTTCAGTCACGTGCTAGGCAACGTATAATCAATAACAAGATAGAATTTCATTTCAGGCCTATTTATCAATTTTGTGGTGCATAACTTTCGCATTTTAGTACGTTGTATGTATTTTGAATCTTCAAATTGTCTTGAAACTTAAAAGAAAATTATTCTTTAAAAATTCACTGAAAATCGGAAGCTAAAATTGTTTGTTTGTTTGTTAACTTGTAATTTCGTTAGTCGCCGGCATCTTTTGTTGCTTCACACAGGAAAAACACACGCGACGAAACGTAATGATCAATTTTGTCCTCAATCTCACAATCTGACACCTGTCAATTAGAGAGCGCGTAAGAAAAGAAAGAGCGCATGTACACTTTTGAAAAACAACGCAACTAGTTTGGCAAGGACTGTTACGAAAATGTTTGTATAGGTAATCACATGATTTCGAGTGCAATTTGGAATAAATAAGCATGAGTAAATTTTTTTAAAGACTAACAAAATTGCACGAGCTTGTAGGGCGAGTGCAATTTGCGGTCTTTGAAAAAATTAACAAGTGCTTGTTTACTCCAAATTGCACGAGAAAAATCATGTGATTAAGTGTTAATAATATACATGGAAAAATACGAGATTGCTTATCATAATTAAACATAAGCAAAGTGCGCGCATCAAGTGCAAAAATAATTTATTTAAACCGTGCGTTCGGTCAAAACAACCGCGTACGATCAAAACAATAACATGCAAAGATATCTTCACATCTTTAAGGTGCAAAAAAGTTCAAAGACCGGCTAAACAGTTCAAGGAATTGTTCAGTCTGTGTCCGAATCACTTTCGATGAAATGGAATCGTCGTTTCCGAGGTTTAACCATGTTTTTTTTTTAAATTTCGGCGTTGGATCGCTCGAGAAAAGTGTTAAGCAGGGTCGGCTCGTAATTTTCGATTTCCTCGGCAATTCCCTCCTCTAAACACCACTTTTTCCAAACTGACAACCAAAAAGCAGTGCTTTTTACAGTTTTTAAGCTGTTTTTCAGCTGCGGTGGCGAAAGAAAGCCTACTTAAAACGCCGGCCATTGTTTCGCTCGCAAATTTTCAAATTTTCAAATTTTGTTGCGACATCCAAGGCTCGCATTTGATTGGCTATTTGTGAGTTTCTTTGATTATTGACCATCAGAATGACTGATTTGTTTCTTTCTTTGCACTGAATTAACCCTCTTCTGCACTGAATTAACCCTCTTCTGCACTGAATTAACTCTCTTCTGCACTGAATTAACCCTCTTCTGCACTGAATTACCTGAAAACTGCATTTATCTTAACCAATCAGAACTGAGAAATTTTTCCACGTATATTATTATCTTCAAAAACAGTCAATGATCTTACGAAAAGTATTATTCACTGTCATCGACAATTAATTCATGTACGAAGATTCACCTCTGTTCATTAAGTAAACGGCGAGGAAAGAAATTGTAAATAAATTCCAAATTTTTTCTTTTGAATTTGTGAGAGTTTGCTCGTTTGTTTGCTGCAATGGCGTGTGTAAATCAGGTCTTTCCTCCATAAAAACTAAATTCGAATGATACACTCCAACGAGATACAAGGGGATTTAATGCGACCTTTTCTCATTGTGTTCCTTCAGTTTCTGTTGTGCAATTTACGGTACAAATGTCCAAATTGAACGCACTTGGAAAGACTCACCGAGAGCGTATACAGTAAAAACCCGCGTATAAGAACCTAGTGATTTAAGAACCTACAGGCTGAAATTAGAAAAATAGGTTCTTATGTAAAAAACACGTTAGATTTGATGTTCAAATTCTGGATTTTAATTGTGAAAATTTTTGTAGTGTACTGCTTTTTAGTTTTACCAATAAAATATTATTCATTCCATAAAACTTTGCTGTAGTTACAAATACAGTCACAAATACTGTACAATACATTTAAAAATCAAAACAGTTTTTTTTTTCTACAGAATATAAAAAATACAGGACTTTTCTCTTGGACCTTGAATCTGTAAGTAGTCTGTAATCTATCTATGGTCAGCAAAAAGCAAAACGAAAGAGTAATAAAGACATAGTAAAATCTTAGACTAAGAATACAAAAATAGGAAAACAAAATAAAACGAAAAAATAATTGAAAGAGATTTATGAATGGGATTTTTTTTTGCATTGTTTTAACGTGTGGAGTAATATATGTATCTAGGGAAGCCATCTGTGAAATAAGTTAAATGCTTGTATTCACGTAGTAAGAAACCAATTTTTTTATTAAACCAAATTTTGAAATAAGAAATAGCAATTGTAATGTGATCACTTAGCTTAGTTAGAATTCAGTTCCTAATTCATGGCGACCGATAGCAATATTCCATAATTTATTTGGTGCTTTTCATCCTCTTAACAAGAAATATAAAGGTGATATCTTATTCCTTTCGAAACGCTGAACAAAATCCGCACTGTTGCGTAAAGTAAAATGTTACGTTCGCGCATTTTTAATATAAAGAAGGGACAAAATTGTATGAATTTTCCTTGCTACAAAGAAACTTCTTCTATTTTCTGTTGCGGTGTTTTCCAACCTCTTCAGATAGAATATTGATGATACATCTAAAGTTTCGGAGGACACAAATTGAAATCCTCGTATTGTGAATAATTATCCTTTTATCCGTCCCTCAGCTCAGTGATAATTCCACAAGCTGCCTGCTTCTTGTTTTGTTCTCTGATGTCATTTGACTTTTTCATTTGGTGAAGCTGATTGTTTTCAAAATTCTCAACACCATTCTTCTTGTCAATATAACGATGTCGGTGGAGGGAAATAAGATTTCGATGAACTAAATGAAGTTTTATCATGAATTGATTCAAGTTTGACTCATTTTGTTGTGTATCGGATTTGGCAGGGCGTACAATGCATAGCTGGAGCATAATTCACAGATACTATGGCTAAAAACTGAAAGGAATCAAGTTGATTTTGCAATAGAGAAATACTTTAGACATATCAGAAACTGTATTGTGGTAAAGCACGTAGTATGTTCATCAACAGATCGACATCTGTACTGACTGTGTACATGTAGTTACGAAAGGCTCGCCGAGCTCGTAATAGAATAACTAGGTTCTTCATTGTTTTAAAATTCATCTGGGATTCGAAAACCGTCACTGTTCGTTCTTTTTGGCAAGAGAACGGCCGTTGCTCTTTAAACGACAGATGTGTCGATCTTTGTATCAATATACTAGTTATCTTTTGTAAAATTTATGGTGCGAACGTCGCGAGAAACTATTTAAGAACGTTTTTTAATCTTTATATGTGGAAAAGCAGAAGAAATGCTAGGTTTGCAGTTTTGTGGTCTAACCGGTCTCGTTATTCTCACAGCCAATCTGCTCAAGCATCTACATGTATTGAAGATGGAAGGAGAAATTGCGCTTTTATCACTCTACTGCAATAAATGTTACACGGCACATCATCGAAGAACTCACAGAAAAAGAGATTTGTACGCATTGTGCGCTTTCTATATCACGTAAAAAGAATAATTAATTCAGCATATATTTTCTTCTTCCTCTGATGTTTTTCGATTTCCTATAAGGACATAAATTTTTGCACAAGGCTTTTGCGACGACTCGACAAAATCGGAGAGCAGTGAACTTTTTTTTTTAAGATTATGTCCGTTATTCTGTGAATACAATTGTTTATCGTTTAAAAAATTACTGCTTCGTGTCTTTTTCCTCAGATGTCATTTAATTTTCAAATTTACATTAATTTGATCAACTTACATGGAATATGTATCCCTTCCGGTAAAATTCGCATCTCTATTATAGAATACCATTAGAAAACATACACTCTATTTTATTATTCCAAAGGTAATACTTTTATTTGTGTTTGTCGAAAAATTTGGACTCTTCTTTATGTCGATCAATTTCCCAAATTCTCAACATCATTCTCGTTGAAAATGAACCGATATTGGTAAGTAGAAATTTGATTCTGAGAGATTATATGAAGTGTTATGTAAAAAAATAGATATTTTCACTCTTTTCGTGTCCTTTGTTTCTCAGAAAACGCGGAAAATGCAAGTAACGATGACATAAAATTCACAAAAACAGAGGAAAAAAACTAAAATTATCGAATTACATAACTATAAGCCCGAGAGCTACAATAGTTTAGAATGAATATTGTGGTAACAAACATAACAAAAATAATTTTAACGAAAGAATTGCCATCTGTCGACATCTAAGAAGCTAATTTCCTATAAAAAAAAATGCTCACTACTTTCAATCTAATTTTTGTACCGTATAATGAGCGTGAGCAATTAAACTATTATGAGATAACAACAGAAAGAAACGAAGCTTTTTCGTTTAGTACCTGAATGTTGATTTTTCCCTTTACTCCGTAAGAATCTGATCGCATTTATCCGCATAAGCAGAAGATAATTAATTCACACAGAGGTAAAGGTTTTTACAGCTGTTTTAACTGTTGTTTTTAATTAATTGAGAGTTATAGGTAGACAAACATTTCCATCACGTAATTTTTTTCAAGTCAGTGGAAAGATAAGAATTTTATTTACCGACTGGTAGGTCCATGTAAGATAAATTTCCACTAGAGGACAGTATTTTCAAGTCCAAGTTTTGAGTTTTTCACCGCACGGATCTTCTCTCAGCTGGTTAATAGCTGACCATTACTTTCTCTTTTTTTCCAGTTCGTGAACGGGAGGTATTTTACAATTTTGTGATCTGACTGGTTCTAAGAGCGGGCGATATTCCCCCTCCCCATCCCACACGCACGCACCCATGCACCCACCCTGACAATAGATAATGATCGGTCCCTTGTGATTTACCTATCATAATTCTAATGATCTATTCCTGATCTATTTTAAATACACAGCATGCAGTTTGCTGAGACGGAGGAAGCCCCATATTACCCAACACTCAGCCAACTGATACAAGTAAGCAAACATTTGTTCAAAGCTGTCTAATATCCAACATTATCTTAAGCTGGTCTGCGTCAAAATGCGGGATAAAAAACAAGTTATTCAGCGTCATATCTTGAGAATTTACACAGGATTTATCGTTAAAAGCGTCAAACGCCTGGTCGAGGTTATTGAACAGATTTGCGCAACTACAAAGTCATAATTGTGTGGAGTTAATTAAAGGAAAGATATTTCTCAATGATAAATGTAATAGCGTCGGTATTGAGAAACTGCGCTAGAGTTCGTGGTTAAAGAACCTAGAACTGAACGGAAGATTCAGTTGATGAGATATTCTGAGATCCGTGAAGAGGACACTTCACGTCTATCAGAGATTTGAGACATATACCGCATAAATCGCCATCAACATATTATGGTAAGTTCGCTTTTTTCCTTTTGGAATTTTAAAGAGTGCTATATAACTGCAAGAGTTTCTTTTTTTTGTGATTTTTTTTTGTGATATTCAACGTTCGGTTTGAATTATCCAAATTAGAAATGACCTGTAGAGTGAAGCTGGGAATTATAATGCCTTCGCGTGTAACAGTACAAAATTCTGCACTCGGCCGATTCTCGACTAACCGTCAGCATTGTTTTACTCTACATACCTCGTAAGTTCTGGCTCTAACTAGTTGTTGACGGACCGGAACTGTTTGCAAGCTCATGATAATCTATCAATCCACAGAAAAATTATTTTAGAGTAGTTTCTATTGATCGAACAAATATTCTAATTTTGCGTGTAAATACGTTGCTAAGAGGCAAACCCAGTTTACAATAGTTTTTAAACATTTTCTGGGAATGTGCGGTAAAGAAAAGATATTAGCTTGTTGAGATTTCTTCTCCTTCTCGATATCTTATCTCTAGGTACAAAAACGAAGACTTTTAAAGCTCAGCACGTCTCACGACGACCTTACGAACAGGGAAATTACCGCTGTCAATCGTTGGCTTCCAAAACCGTCTCGGCATTCGCGTGAAATCGACCTCGCCACATTCCACGGAGAGGAGCCCACTTTAAAACTAATGGCTAAGTATGAACAATTCTCAACGGTTTGTCATTTGACCAGTTGTAAAAATGCGAGACGAGTGATTGAGGACAACGGTATAGATCCAGAAATCAGAACATTCGACTCGCCTCTTGCGAAAGAGTCCGTAAAAGTCAGAAGTATTGGATTTGAGGCAAATACAGACACCAACCTCCGAGAGCTGAAGAAAATCCTGAAGGAAAAAAAAAGGCTACAGGTCAAGTGGCTGCTTAATCTTCATGGTGATTCAGGTTGGTGTAGAACTGTGTTTGTTTTTCTCTACACGTTCGCGCACAGACGGCCCATGCTCCAGCTGTGAGATGATCATCTTGCGAAATAAGAGTCGTGGCGGAATTATAAGAGTTTGTATGGGAATGTTTACGACCGCTCTTAAAAAAAAAAAAACAGTCAAATTCTCACACACCGTCACCTAGCACCCGTGGTTCTAAGACAATTTATTGATGCCAAGTGACTGGTGGTCTTCGGCGAGGCACAGTTTGCAAAGGAGGCAGGGTTAACAAGCTGGTTTTCAACCGTCATGTGTACGCGGGACGTCTAAATAGCGTCGGTTTCACGGGGAAGATTGAGTTTGTAGTGAATTGAAATGAAACTACAGTATATGTGCTTAAACTCTGCGTTGGATTTGTGGCCGCTCGGTCGTTTTGAGCTTGGAGTTTTCGCTTCTCGGATCGAGCGTTCGAAAATGGAGTGTGCAGCCTTGGGCTCTTCTTATGTTTTCTTATGTACGTAGAAAACCTAGAAATGGGTAACTCGCTGAAATGGGTTCTTTTCAACATAGTAAGCGGTCAGATAACAAGCGATGCACTGTGGAAGTAAGGTGAGGTATTTTTATTGAGAATTTGACTGAATTTTTTTATTCCTAAAAGGTCGTAAATATTCCCATACAAACTCCAATAATATTTCGCCATGACTCTTATTTCGCAAGATGATCATCTCACAGCTGGAGCTTGGGCCGCCTGTGGTTCGCGGAGCCTTACTCAACAAGTTCGATAAATTTAGCCAGCTCCTGGCAAACACTCGAGGACTTTCCAGGGGGCAGCCTGTGGACTGCTTTCGTTTTCAGGGCTTCCATAACGACACCGAAAGACAAATGGAACAGAAAATGGTAAACGAACAAAGCGAGCCCAGCTTGAATTAGAAATAGCCACCGTTTGTTGCCCGTCTGTACTTATAGGTAAAGGAATAAGAAAAGAAAAAAACAAAGGAAAGTTGTAGTATGTTCAGCCTGTGTAACTAGCAGGATTTTTGTTGTTGTTGTTTTTGTTTTTTTGCTTTTGTTTTTTTCTCTTGCGCTCTTTTAAAAAACGATGAAAGTCGAAGGCGCGAGCGGGATAAACACCTTTCCCTCCTGCTTTTTCCATCCCAAACCTTCCGCGGCTTTCCTGCTAGTTTTCACGTCGCCGCCGCTAGACGCTTCAAAGCGTGCACAAAACCACCAGCTACGTCAGCTAAGCCGTGTGAAGTTCATGAAGAATGTGAGAGTCACTTGAACATTTTATGCCTGAGACTTCGCTCGGAAAGCGATATAATGCATATCCTTAAGAATAGGGGCCGGGGAGCCCGTTCTCCTTCTCCCGCCCGTTCTTTTAGTTACCTTATTGGTGCTTACTGTCGCGGGTACTTGATGTCGCGATTTTGGCGAGACGGTATTTTGCAGGGTTTTATTTTGTGATTTCAATAGGCAATTATCTGAAGAGGCATCAAATTTCTCAATTTAAGCGTTCTCAATTTAATTTAATTTTTTCAAAATGTACTAACTTTTAACAACTGTACGAAAGATATTCCATAAAATTTGTACGAATCTAATGATTCAGATGAAGATGGTAGCTAGATTCTCTACTTCATATGCAAAATCTTTGCAAATGAAGTGCAAATAAAAAGAAATTGGCTCAGAGATCACGTGAAAGTGACAAAAAAAACATTTCTCGAACAGTTTTCCAAAATGCGCCGAAGCGCGTGTTAAAAATTTTCAGGGAAAGGACCAAGAGAATTTCAAGAGAATTTCAACTTAAATATCAGTTGATATTCTCTTGCTCTGGACACTTCCAAGATGATACATCACAATCATTGCTGTCTTCTGGCCCCGTCACTTCAAAATTCGTTCCCAAAGGTCTGTAATGTGCCATAATGGCTTCTCTGTAACTCAAAATTCTTTCTTTCCAAGGTGCTATACTAACGTATGCATTAATTTTTATCACCACGAACAGGGATCGTAAACAAGAAGCCTTCACGCTACCGCATGGCTGACGATGACGTCAACAGGTGGCATCACTACATCCTGGACATTACAGACTATGCCAAGACTTCATTGTGTCGCATCCTGGTCACACCTCGCGTATATTCAAACTTGATTCCCTATGATCCTACAAAACTGGGTGGTCCATGGTACTGGGACCTGGTGAATGACGAGCATTACTGCTTGCAAAGAGTGTTAGGTTACGATGGCGAGGAGCGCCCTTTGGTGACTGAGTTTTGGCGGGAATCTGACTTCATTGGTTTGTCTGTCCCAGGCCCCGACTGGAGCGTGATACATGACGTCGGTAAGGGTTGTATAAAGTTTTAATAAAACACTTTTCGTGTAACTAATTTGAGGGAAAATGCCGGGGAGGTATGTTTTCCCGCCAATTTTAGCTATTTGGGTAAATAAGTGCATTATTGTTACAAGAAGTAGATTGGCTGTCACGTCTACAATCCACCTGTCGTGATTCTGCTGCCGGCTGTTCTTTTTTTCTGCCTCAATGATGAAAATGAAGAGTTTGAGGGTCGTATCTCTTGATTAGGAAGCAACAGATATTCAATATCCGCCTAGTATAGATTTGGCAAGCACTAATTACCAGGTTCACAAACGAGGTTCACAAACGAGGTCTGAATTTCCGCCTAGGTTGTCTCCCGTAGGCCAGGGCAGAGAAATAAATCATCAGCTGTGTTAGATTCGCATTAAACGCTATTCGGTTGACAGTCGTAAAACCAAAAGGGAACAAGTCTCGACGGAAAGAAGAGATATCACAAGGAGCCAGTCAGAAATCAAAGTAAAAAAAAGCAGCAATCTCTTCATAGGCGAGAAAAATTGAGAGATTAGTATGCGATTGTTTTCAGTTTTGCGCCTGATTGGTTAAGAGAATGGACCAATCAGAAAGCAAAGAAATGCAAAACCAACGCAATCCCGGATCTCTTTCGACACTCCATAAAAATTGCTGTAAAAATTGCTGTAAAAGTTAAACACATTTTTAACATTACAGAGTTCATCCGCTCCGCGACATCTTGTGCCAGTAAAGGAGAAATCGAAGACGCTGAGCTACTTGTCTTGTCCTGGGTTCACAGCCAATCAGAAAAATTCATCAGAAGCTTAAGCGGCATCGAAGGATTGGGACAGAGTCGCTTGCAACGAGCCTTGCGTGATACTCTGAAGGAGCTTCCCTCTATTTCAAAGAAATTTGATCATTCCTGCGAGCCTAACACTATTTATGTCCATAACGATGCTGTGGCAACGCTCGCACATTCACCCCCACGGGAGAGTTTTTGTCGCGAGTTGGGAATCTCGGGTAGTTTAGTTTTTGTCAAAGCTTGTCTCGGTTTACTGTGCCAAAGTCAGAATTTGAACGATTTGAGAGAGTACCTTGTTGGTAACCCTGTGAGTCTGCAAGCTCTCTTTCAGTGGTTATTGGATTAAGCGAATAGGTAGCTGTAAGATTGCAAATCAACGGTGTTAGAAAAGTATCTTTTTTCTTAAAGATTTCTAAGAGTTTTGCGGAACCTCCTAGTCGTAGAACTTGACTTATTTATTACTGGACATTGCAGTCCACCGCTCGACGATGTGCGTTCTCAGTTATGACCTAAATTGTGACGTAACTAAGTTATCAAACCATGGAAATAAAATATATTTTTTGGACGGCCTGAATTGATATTGGCTTCTTATATATATGTTCAAATTTTACGAATGCCAGATTTTTTTCTTCTTTTTCTGATGTGAGATGAAATTTGAGACCAGTTGCAGACCCTGTGTCTCCACTTTTCAGAAAGAGCTTTGGTGAAAAGAGCAGTTCAGCATATATTGAGAACTTGATAAATAATTACATCTAAAAGTTTTGCATTGAATCAATACCTTCTCTGCGGGTCATTAATCAATACACTGGTAGTATCATATCATTATCGTTGAACTTGGAGGAAAGATATCGATCCAGAAATCTCTTAAAAACGAAATCAAAATTTTGAGAGATTTTGTAAGACAAAGACATTTAAAGTATTAGATAAAAACCCCTTGTCTTAACGACGTGACTAAACTTGTAAATACTTCATTGTGTAAGACGCTCACATAATTTTCAATAGGTTCTTTGAAGTGCTTTAAAGAGGGCAAATTCAAGATGTCTTAATTTTCCACGGATCATTTGTTGGCAGTAATTATCTCGGAAGTTTGCTAAGATCGCGCTTTTAATTCTTCCGGCGAACATATAAAAAAAAATTGTGCTCGCAATGGGTTCTCAGTCCCGAATATTGGTAATAACCCGAGCTATAAAAAAGCATAAACACTTCTTTTCGTACCCAAAATTATTACCAATGCAGTTGCAGTTGATATAGCACTTTGTAAACTAATTGACGATGATCAAGAGAATATTAAATCTTTTGATGATGACAGTACAATTTGGCCAAATTGAACAGTCATTGCGTGAGGAGAGTATATTGAGAATCAACGTGAAGTATTTCCGAAAGGTTCTTTCCTCATGTTGAAGACAATTACACCGTGTAAATTTATAAACCTTTGATTGACCGGACGTCCGCACTTTACTGGGAGAGAAATGGTGGTTTCTGTGATCACCATTCTACTGTTAGTTGAGATTGCTGTTCAGTTTGAATACGTTACATCTATAAACCCAATGCACTCCAATGGTAGGTTCGTTACTTTTTCTCATAAGTTATTATTGTTGGAAGGCGTGCGTAATGGCAACGAGGGATGGGGAACACGAAGTAAAAAAAAAATTAGACTCCCAATGAAAAATTGCAAAAAGATGTTGAATTCGATAAGATGTTGAATCCTTCCTTGACTTAGGTCCTCCTATGTCAAGCACGCCCAGAAAAACTACGAAAATAAAAACTGCTACCAAAAATTTGCCCCTTTAAAAACATGACTAAAGAAACGTATTTTGATAAATTCCATTGCTAATGAGTAATCTTTACTTTAAAATCTGGGATTTCCGACCATTCCTCTTCACAATACCGCACGAACACCCTATGAAATAACTTGGGATAGTGGAAGAGAACGTTGTCTCGTATCTCTTCCGCTTTACGAAATACGCCGAGAGGGATAATTAGCATCTGAAGTTACTCTGTTACACTAAGTGTTTTTGTGGTTGTCAGCTGTAATGTTCACTTGTAAATGTACAGTCGTTTATAACTATTTCAAAATGCACCTAACTTGTATTTTAAAGTTACATGCGAAGATTGTTGTGATATTTGAAACTCGTACAATACATATTTCTGACTAAATGTCCCTTTCAGAAAGGCAACTGTTTAGACAATGCAAATATTTTTTTGTCGCTTGAAAGACCACTTGAAATAGAGCTTTACTGATGGAAATGAATCACTTTTAGTTTACTAACGAAATTAAGGCTTTGACTGCGCCAATATCCAATTTCAAGAGGAACAAAAAAATCTCTTCTCAGCTTATGACTGTTCTTTCGTGGACTCTGCTTATTACAAAAAGATTGACAAGATGCGGGAAGGAGGCAAAATGGGGATGCAAATACCAACAAGAGCAGATTGAAAACAGCTCGAGCTCTGCAATTGTGACGCGCCTTTCGTTGATCCAGCGATTTTATCAATTATGCAATTGTTACTAAACTTTCAAACTCTTTCGTAAATAAAAGAATAGACGTGAATTGAAATATGACATATGATTCATTTACACTCCACCAACTTTTTTTACTGCTTTTGTTTATTCAACTTTTACCTATAATTCAACAATGAAGACCCACAAGGTGGAAATGTTAAATAAACCATTATTATTATCACTACTATAAATATCGTCATCATCATTATTAATATCCTTATCATTGTTATTATTATTTGTGGTAGTATAGGCATTTTCACAATCTCTGTGTTTCAGTCTGTTCTGAGCCGTTGGGAATGCAGAGCCGTCTAATCCCTGACTCAGCTATAACAGCTTCCTCCGAGCGAATTAATTATCTGCGAGCTTCCCGAGCCAGACTGCACATGCGTTCTTTTTACCCATGGCTGCCAGCTGGTTGGTCAGCGGCTGTCTCAGACCACAAACAGTGGCTTGAGATTAACCTTGAATTGAAGACAATAGTGACGGGGATTGGTACCCAGGGACTTAGTAGCAGATGGTCACCTGATCAATGGGTTACTAGTTACCAGGTCTCACACAGGGACAAAGCAGATGAAAAATGGGTCCACTATCAGCAACAAGGACACATAAAGGTATTTGTTAAAAGTGGTCAAACAGTCTCTTCGATAGGTTGATGTGACACAAAATCAGTGGCTAGAAAGAGAGAATTAATAGCCCTTGGTGGTGGCGTCATTACTGACCTAGTACTTGCCATTAATGGTAATGAGACGGGGGGAGGGGTGAGTTTAGACGGCTTTGGTTACAAGTTATCGTTCACCTTCATTTCGCTTTATGTCGTGCTACGCACGCGTGGGGAATGCTTTTTTCAGTTTTGTCTTTATGATCGGAGCTTACAAACGTGGAGCTTTCAGCGCTTTGAAGAGGGTTGGGAACTTAAGTGAGAGAAAATCTAAAAAACTAATACAACTCTGATCTAATTTCTTTCTTCAGACATTTGTAGGCAATAAGGATGCTGAGAGTGTTGTTATAAACCAGGTGGAGCCCTCCTTTGAAGCTGTTTGTGTCCGACTTCATCCGCAGTCGTGGCATCGCTGGATTTCAATGAGAGTGGAGCTGTTTGGATGTCCAGGTAACAAAAATTATTCTACCAGCTATATTTTCCAATCATCAGTCTCCTTCCGCTCGTGTTAAGTCAAAAAGCTTCAGTTTAAGGATATTTTTATGCGTTGTGCCACCAAAAACCGCGTTGGGCTACATTTTTGCCGGGGTGTCTCAAAAAGTAGAAGATGTTAATCGGAAGGTGGCACATAAACGTAAGTTCGTGTAAGAAAAAAAAGACTCCCTAAAGGCTCAGATAGAAAAAGATGGAAGAAAAAGAATAGGAACTAGAGTAAGACAGGAGAACCAAAAGATGAAGGTAAATCATGTCTTCCTAAGGGGGCTAAGTTTCCAAAGAAACTCAGGTGCTGCGTTGGTGGGGGTATAACAAAATAATTTGGTTTCATCAATTGGATTGATAATATCAATTGGCCTCTTAAAAGAGTTTTTCTATACCTAAAATCCACAAACCTGACGACCCATTTTCTCTACCTGTAGTTACCCTACTAAAACTTGATTAGAGAAAAGTCTCCTGCCTGGAAAGTAAAATTGTTTCCTTGTGCCTCAATGGAGAGAGGGTGAAGTCATTACCAAATCAATTTGAGACTCACATGAAGTTATTTTAATGAAGACGTTATATCTCGTTTAGTCTCTTCGTGTTTTATGACTCTTGGCTTGCAAGACATGCGCATACCAGACATGGCTTTCTCGTCGTCGTCCATTTTGACTCAAGCTAATGCTCCATCTCGTGCTCGACTCCACCTACAAATTGGAAAATCTCAGGCAGCAGGCTGGGCACCAGCACGTGGTGACAACACACCCTGGCTTCAAGTGGATTTGGGGAATAGGATGATCATAGCCGGAATTGGAACCCAGGGTGGGCACTACTTTTGGTGGTCAACTGGAGGCTGGATTCATAAGTTCAAGGTGTCTTTTAAGAGCGATGGAGAAGAATGGCAGATATATGGCCAGAACACGTCAGAGGAGGTAGGAAAATCAAATGTTACAGTACTTCTTTTGCATTTACAAAAGCATGTGGAAACCGATACAGGCCATACTGAGCCCGCGATAAAATTTTTTCTGTTAAGGATCTTTTGAGGCAGCATATCCCGCTGATATGGTCGGCGTGAAATAATCTTGAAGTGTCCTGACTTCCCTGGTGTCCTTCATTAATCAAAATCAGACAAGTTTACAAGTTGCAATTCTTCGCTTAGGGCCACTAAAGGCGGTCGCTTGACGCCACAATTACAACACGACTTGTGCTTTTTCAATCCTGTAAATCGCTCCGTAAATTTTCCCAATTTTTTGTTTTCGTTTTTCGTTTTTATTACATCTCTTACTGACCTCTCTTAAATATTACAGGAGCTTGTTGGTAATAGCAATATAAACTTAGTGGTGATCAACAAGCTCTCTCAGCCATTTGTGGCTCGCCTAGTTCGCATCCATCCCATCGTGCAGACAACATATGGTTACTTGAGACTAGAGTTGTACGGCTGTCCAGGTATTGAAATATCGGAACATCCATTAGAAGGACAATTGCTCTGGACATGTAGACATATTCTCTAATCCACGGCCAAATTATCTGGTGTTGCGCTCTGTAAAGAAGGTCGGAAATCTGCAAAAAATAATAAAAAAAACTAAAAACATAATGGCGGGGGTTTGGTACGGAGTGAAATCGCTTTCCTTATTCCGCTGCGTTTTGCCCAGGCCGCCCCACCTTTGGGCTGGTTCTCATAAACTGAGTGCCTGCAACAGGCTATAGGTATTGTGTTTCGAGACCACGAGGTTACAGTTAAAATCCTTTTGAGGTTCTTAGTTGAGCGAAATTAGGATTTGCGTAGCTTTTTGCTCAGATATGTACCCTTTCTTGACTGCATTGGTTTTGCTTTACCTCGCTCTATGATTGGTGCAGAAAACTTACTCTACTCTCTCAACCAATCAGGTGAAAAGTTAAACCTCATTACGACTTGGTCGCGCACGTTTTCCCGCGCTTTAGGTAGTTGGGTATTTTCCTCTCTTCTGATTGGTATTTTTGATAATTTGGTTTGGTTTTATGACGTTCAATCGAGAAACGCTATATAAAAAGTCTAATCAAGGATTCTTTTTACTCTCACACTCTTGCCAGTAGTTTATGTAATCTTGGAGTAATTCTTCATTCCAAGAGAGCAAATTCATTTTATTTCCTCTTCTTTTTGCAGATAAGAACAACTGCGATAGTTCTCCGTGTTGGAACAACGCCACATGTAAAGATCATCTAAGTAGTTTTAGCTGTATGTGTCCTCCCGGATTTACGGGAGAGACTTGCGAAACGGGTGAGTAGAAAATTGTGATTAAGGCGTTCTTGACACTCAATCAAAGTCCGCTCTAGATTCCAGTTCTCTGTGCAAAAAAAACGCGGCACTCAGTTGGTATAATGTAAATTGGCCACAGTAGAGAATTTATGGTAATACTTGCGATTCCCAAGTTTTTGCCTAATCATTTAACGTTTTAGGGCCTTTTTTGCGACGCACAACGAAAAAACAGATAAGTAAGCAGAGGAAAGAGAGTTGGGGTGCTTGCTTTTATCTTTTTTTGGCGCGAGAATCCATGAATACAAATTATCTAATCATATGCAAATGAAACATTGAAAGCATGGACTTTGCATGAACATCTTTCCCCCTCGCGCTCGATTCAAGCTTGCCTCTGTTTGCCTAGAAAACGCCAAAAAATACGCCTGTTCTATAAGCTGTGATTATTTGACCAAATCCTTAAATCAGCCAATTATTAACCTGTCGGTTATGACCACTCTACAACATCAAGACCATAAATCAACACGAACCTAACAAGCGCTTGTTTTGCTTGTGATAGATATCGACGACTGTTCCAGTTCTCCTTGCCAAAACGGGGGATCATGTGTCGATCACGTGAGCAACTTCAGTTGTGTGTGCTCTCAGGGATTCACGGGACTAAAGTGCGAATCAGGTTATTACGAATCATTTCTCTTGACCTTCCTCTCTTTTATTATGGCGTTAGTAAGAGTTCAAACCACAGAAAACTAGGTCGTATCAAAGAGAATATAGTTTTAGCTAGGGCGAAAAAATAAGCACGGTTAAGTTTCCGTTCACGATCCTAAGCATGACTTTACCAACTGAGTTGATAATGTAAATTGGCTACCGTGGACATTTCCTAAAGCTGACGAGCTAATGCGCGTCATCTTTGGAAACTCTCTTCGGTGGCAAGTTGCATTATCAACTCATTTCATACGACCAAATTATGTTACAAGACCCAACCCCCCCCCCCACCCCCACCCCCACCCCCACTCCCACCGACACAGCATCAAATTGTCTTACCCCCTTTATCCTCACCTCTCAGCCTTAACCATTTTCATAAATTAGACAAACATACCTTCAAAAAAGATGGTCGATTTGCTGCAACTCGTTTTAGTTATAATTTTTCTCCATTATTCAAGGTAATTGAAACTAACTTGAAATTCGCTCTGACGAAGGGCTAACGCTCGAAACGTCAGCTTTGAAACTCTTCACGGTGGCAATTTGAACTATCGACTCCGTTGATAAAACCAATTTATCATGTAAGACCGCCCCCCCCCCCCCGACACAGCTTCACAAGTCTCTTTAGAAACTTATCCCCCTTTATTAACTTGAAATTCGTTTCTTTACCTTTATGAAAAAACTCTTTAAAGCTTCAAAAGCCTCATATTTTAAAGACACATTGACAAGGCTTCAGTCTAAAGCTTAGTTAACTACAGTCATTTTCTTAAGTCTCACGTCTCACGTTTCACGTTTTACGTCTTGTGTTCTTAGTTCTCAAACCAAGCTGCAGCTGTGGTCGACGCACCACCCGACGTATCGTGGGCGGTCAAAGGGCGTTACCAGGGGAGTGGCCATGGCAGGCCGGTCTTATGGTCAAGAATACGAAGCAGATTTACTGCGGCGGAGCTTTGATTAATCAAGAATGGATCGTGACAGGTGCACATTGCGTGACATACAGAAATGCCTCAACGTTGATGGTCGTGCTCGGAGAATACGATGTTACGAGGAAGGAAGGTATTGAACTCTTCCGAGAGGTTGATGGATATCAGTTGCATCCGGACTACCACTTATTAACAGCAGACTTTGACATTGCCCTTGTTCGCTTTAAACCAGCTTTAAGCCAGTTCAGCAGGTTTATATCGCCCGTTTGCTTGCCAACAGCTAACGAAAGTTTCCCGGCAGGAACCAACTGCACGGTCACTGGTTTTGGTCGGCTTACTGAAGCTGGTCGACAAGCAACAACTCTACAACAGGCTGTGTTACCAATTGTATCACGGGACACTTGTCAAGCTGCCTACCCAGAATACCATATCACGCCCAGGATGACGTGCGCAGGATATGTTGCTGGGGGTATAGATGCCTGTCAGGGGGATAGTGGGGGACCATTAGTGTGTCGTAAGGATAAGATACACTGGTACCTGGCTGGTGTCGTAAGCTGGGGTCTGGGATGTGCCAGGCCTGAATCATATGGGATTTATGCTAATGTACCAGTGTTAGCATCATGGGTGAGGTCTGCATTAATCAATTCCACCATTTGTTCACCTTGACATTGCAAAATTCATTTCTGATATCATTAGCAAGATCTATCACTAGTAAAGAAATTTTTGTGACTCCAAACTGTTACTGTACACAATTTTGGGGGTTCAAATATCAATATTTGTTGTCCATATTCTTAAACTTCTGAAATGAAAATTATTAGTTTTATTATTTAGGTTATTGAGAATAACTATCTTTTATCTTGCTCTGCACAATGTTATTGTACCAAAGCACTGATTTCAAAATTTGTTGCCTCTTATGATCCCTTAAAATTCAGTTGCTATCATTTGCTCTAACAAATATACTATAACAATATTTATTTCCCTTTGGGAAAGTTCCTACTTTGCCTCTCGTTAGACAAAGCTCTGAAAATACCTTGGAGTCTGGACCTTCATCTCCTGTAATCCTTCAATTTGAGATTCCAAAGAATAACCTTACTGTTTAAACATTGTCTTCAAATAGGCTATAAAAAAGATAGAATGCTGCCATGTTGAAAGGACTTTTAATTAGTGACCCCAATGGATGAATACCAAACAGCTGCTGCTGTTGCTATTGCAAGTTTAAAAAGTAAATTACCTAAGTTATACATGGATTTTAAGCACTTCATAAATTTCAAACAGATCATCAACAGTTGGAAAAAAAGAAGTTATTTTTTCAACTAAGTCAAGCAGCTGAATTACTAAAGCAAGAATCACAATGGCTGTCTCTTGTCAACTTTTAAGCTTACTTGAAGAGAACTTGTGAGAGCTAGGTGACTATTTGGAATATTTTAATACAGTCAGTAGTGCAAAAATAAATTAGTTTTTTTGCTGGCACAAACCCCCTTACTTCATACTTTTTAAAAGTGATAAGCATGGAATTTGGCTGACATCAGTTTGGCAGAGGAATCTCAATCTTGTATACACAGCTGAGAATTTCCAATGGCTTCATTCTAAATAATTATGTAATAAAATCAATTTTCAGATGCTCAACAAAAAATATGTTACTTAAGAGCCTATACAACACCAGTGGATGAAAAAAATTCAAAAGAAACCTAAAGTGAAAAATTGGCACTGTTTTCATGAAAAATTAAATTTAAATGTCACATTTTGCTAAAATACTTCAACCATTGGCAAAATTGTCATTAAGTTTTTCTGAAAATAATGCTATTTTGTTGTGAAGCAATATATTTGCGTATTTGCAAACTAGTCCACAATATGGTCTGTTCAGACCCATAGACTAATCACCCTATCAACTAGGGCTTTAGTGACTAGCCTGTGTTCTTGCAGAAAAACAAAGATTGCAATTCTGAGAAAGGGTGGAATTGACACCCTAGTGGGATTGTCAGCCCTTTGTGACTAATGTTCATTTAGAAGTTAGGAAAAGTATCCATTAATTTTATAATTATCCGATAGGGTCTAACAATTTCTAATGGTTATCCAAAGGGTGATGTCACTAGTCATGTGACTGTGTCATGCCAGATTGTCACGTAGGTCATGCAGAGTTATTTTGATGGAGGAAAGAAAAGAAAACTTCCTGTTATCAAACCCTGTTGGTTAATTAAGGGGTGGACAACATACCCACACTACATGCGTTTACTCCCATTACCCCCTAACTAGATTGGGTCTGCTCCTTCTACCCTACATCCCACACCAGAGGCTCTGTTCATCCCATCCCATCTGCACGGACACAGAAAGAGCTCTAAGGGATATTGTCTCTCATCAACACATACAACAAATACTAACAGGATTATGCAATTACATGCACTTAAGGCTAAATAGCCCTGATCACTTTTTCATACTTTCTTCAGATAAATGTCAACTACTGTCTCATGACATTCTCGTAAGTCAAAGTCACAGAAACCAATACAGAACTTTCCTGGAGGAAGTTTGAAGTAGTCAAGTCCTCTACCAATTTTGATCACCCAGCCATTGCTGAATCTAATCTCGCGATCATGAAGTGTTTGAGAGAATCCAATCTCAAGATTTATGTTGTGTTTTTTTAAACTGTTTTTTAGTCCTTGAAGTCTCTTAGCCTGATTATTTTGACTCTCTTGATCTTCATCTTGAGCTAAGAAAACACCAAGTAATAGTTAGCTTTATTGAAAGGGTGGCCAAGTCAAAGCAATGCAAAAGATGAACTTGCTCAAAATTTTTTCTCAAGATAAACAGCTGTTACTATTTTCATTTTGATCCACCCTCTTAACTCTGTCTGGGTGGAGAGCTCTGAGTTAGAGATCTAACCCAGATCATTTTGCTTTCTCTTAGACAAGAAAGTATTTACAAGCTACTCTCAAAATCCATCTCCTCACCCAAAAAGGAAAATTGGTCCCAGAAATCTGCCAAGTAGACTTTAGAAAATGTTTATCAGAAACCTGCAATGTGCCGACATCCATATAGGGAAAGTTGCAGTACCTTAAGTTAATTCCTGCTGCAGAAACTAGGAAAAGGCATAGCTTGTGCAGACTTTGGTTGAACCGGCAGAACAAATTCTGGTTCATTGTGGAAGGCCATTGTAGCAAACAAGCTGGACTCTGAATTATCTGGGATCTGAGCATTAGGTATATTTTGGGTCAATGAGCTCTGTTTTTACTAAAGAGATATATTCCCTTGTTGCCTTTTTTTACTATGAAAAGTGACTGAGCTTCATATTACAACAATTTTCTCACCCCCAAAACTCTGAAAATGCATAAACCCATCCTAGTAACTCTTTTGAAACTGCAACCCAAACATAGTCCATTCAGTTGTAATCCTAAGAAGAACTCTCCCCCCCCCCTCGCCCCCCTGGTCTTTACCTCTCTCCCAAGGGGAAGCAACTTCCTCGAAGGTGTTGCGTGACAAGAAAGAAGATGAGCTGTGACAAGAATTGCTGCAGTCAAAAATAAGAAGTTAATGTATTAATTTCATTTTTCACTTACTGGTAAGCAGTTTTATGTTCCGCACCGTTCCTTTACGCACTAGCAACTCGCAAAATCGAAGAAAATTATATATCTGGTGAATGTTTCGAATGTAGGGATCTTCGACTACAACTTCTTGAACATTACCCTCCAAGTACTTCTCAAACACGCGTCTATAGCTATATCCAGTGGATCCTTCTGTGATATTGAGTTTCTCGTGAAAAGTTCCCGCCTCTTGCTGTTCCCTGACCAATTTTTTCAGTTTCTCTGCCCGTTCAATGTAGGACTCCATCTTTGCACGGTAGTGTACCTTCTGCGAGTCATCTTTTGTGTCTTTCAGAACGTTCATTAACAAGGCTAGACCTTCTTGATAGCACACTAATGCCTCAGAGTAGCTTTGAGCTTGATCAAGCTCCACAGCTCTGGTTAATACACTCACTGCAGCGTCTAAGCTCATTTCAAAGATCTTCGACGAAATCCTGTTACTGAAACCAGATCTTTTCTTCCGGGTGCATGAATTTCCTCACTAGAGAACCCCTACGTCACGCAGACACGGTTGAAAATGCGCCTTGATGCACCATAGGCTAGGACAGGTGAAGCTTTCAGGGATGACAAGATGGCGGATTCTATTAGAGAGAGAAAAAAGTCGAAAAAACCATCAAGTCAGTTATTTTTATTTATACTTTATCGCCGAAAAGGGAGAAATTTATTATTATTTCTTACCAATTTATTTCTTTAGACACTAACTTCAAACAGCAAAGACTGAAAGCTTGGCAACCGATTCTGACAGCATCTACGGCACTGCCTTTGTTTTTCACAATCGGAGTGGTGTTTATACCTATTGGAGCAGTTCTTTTAGTAGCATCCGATAAAGTAAGTGTGGTTCATTATTTAAGGGTTATTTCCCTAATAGAGCTGTATTAAAAGGTTGCAAAACTTAAATTATCTTGTAGCTTATGGTGCTCGGAGTACAAAATATATTTGTGTGTTGAAACCATATAATTTGCAGCTTGGCTAATTGATTTGAGCTTTCATTTTGGAGATAAAGCTTTGGGCCCATTTCTACTTCCACACCTTCAAAATAAACTTTGATATCGATACTTCTTTAATTTTTCCTTAAGAAACTGTGTTGGTTCATCACCTCTCTTCAACCTGCGACATAGTGTTGTCAGAAAAGAACGAAAGATGGCCAACGCCATGATCCTAATGAAAGATTTAAGTTTCTCATTGACTGTATGATCAGTTGTTGTCGTTGTTTTGAAGACTATCAGTTTCATTGTGGAAGCAAATCTAATGAATTCATCCAAGAATTCTGCGGATTAAGAATTGCGATAGGATGGAGATCATTTCTGTTAATTTACTTATTGAGAAAATTGATCTCACATCACATGCGCTGAAACAATCTTGACACAACAGAGCCAAAAGAATGGAAGCATTAATAATACTTTGGTTATAATAATAACTGATTGATAATGTAAATTGGCCACCATCAAGAGTTTCAGGTGTTAGTCCTTCCTCAGAACAATGTTAGCCCTTCACCTGAGGGCTAATGCTCAAAACGTCAACTTTGAAACTCTTAATGGCCAATTTACATTATCAACTCAGCTGATGATACAAAATTACTCTATTATACTCTCCCACCGATGCAGAACCACAGTTTCTTTGGAAACTTACCCCCTTTACACGATTATAATAGTTCTATTTTGTTGGGCTGTAATTGTAATTTTTTTATGCTGGAATGTAGTGTTTACAGTGACATTTATTCTTTTGTAATTTAAGAAACATACCATAGATATGAATAATCATTTTGTGATAAGAGAGTCCTGAGGTAAATTGGAGCACTCTGATTGATTTTTACTTGGTCTGTATTTTGCTATATGAACAGTTTTCACAGAAATGTTCATAAGCTGTGTACATTTTGTCACAAAAGCTAGTAAATTCAAATAAACAAGTTTGGTCCAAGTGCCACATAGTAAACTACTTACTAACTTCATATGCTCAAGCTGTACTGGGGAGTGTTGGCCCTCATTCTTTTTAAAACATGCTAAGCACAGCTAGGTCCTTACTGCCACAACCTGAAGCCAATATTCCCTAGTACAACTCTAGTGTTTGATTAACTATTTAATTCCCACGAGTGACTGAGACAGAATTTTTCCTTACAATATCAAAGCAATACCAAGCTGCTGAAGGGAAAGAAGAGGGAAAATATTAATAAGGGGATTATTAGTTTCTCTAATACCAAATTCTTTGCACTAACATTGTAAGAATTGTACAGCGTATAGTAAGGAGAATTACTTAAAAGATCTTGGGAGTGAAGGGGTGAGAAGTTATTATCTCTTATGAATGGGATGATCATGTGAATAATGCTCAAAGGATTTTACATAATAGGTGCAAGAGAAGACTGTGGATTATACATATTGTAAAGCTTCAAGTGGCAAAGGATGTGACAAGTTCTTTGAAAATGTCACAAACACTGGCAAGACCTGTGTCTGTAAAGTGAAGTTTAATCTGTCCCAGGAATTCAAAGGGGATGTGTTTATGTACTATGGGCTTTCCAACTTTTATCAGGTTTGTTATATCTCTCATGTGAATGGCAATTATATTTTATAGTGCAATTACTTCAACTAGAATCACCCATTATTTTCAGCCAATCAAAACATTCAGAACTTCAAAGCAGAAGATTTGTAGTCAGGGAATTTTTAGACCAATCACAGAAGAGGCAGAATAAACTGCGATCATCCAGTAATACAAAATAAAATGTCTCTCATTCACTGAGTCATTTATCCGAAAAGCCTTGATCCAAGTGTTTCAAATATCCCATTCCTCTCTTATAGCCAAAGAGTTTGATTAAGAGATGAATTTCAAAACTGAATTTACTGGATCAAACACTCGAATAACTGCTACAGATGGAGGCAAAATTACTAGTGAACACCCCCTATTGATAATTGTCTTATGTAATCAGAAGAATGCAGTGTTTATGCAAGCTGTCTAGAGAAAAGGCAGTTTGGGAATCTTTGTCATCATTATTTATTTCAAAAGCTAGGCAATTAAGGTTTTCTTGGTTTTCTTGGAGACACTAGAACTTAAAACATGTTTTTGTTTTACTTAATTCATCCAAATAATGTTTGTCTTGGTCTTGGAAGGAGGAGGTGGATCTTAAATTTTTTAAATCTGCAAAGCTTAGTTCTGCTCTTTTTTACTGATGTAGAATCATCGTCGCTATGTCAGATCAAGAGATGACCTTCAGCTCCACGGAGACCTAGATCATAAAGTATCATCTGACTGTGATCCTTTTGCAGAAGTCAATGGTTCTGCCATTGCACCGTGTGGAGCCATTGCTAATAGTCTGTTCAATGGTAGGTGTTATTTACCTGATAATGATTTTTTTATTGTGCAGCTGTAACCAGACCAAACATACAGTATTACTGTCTGTCAGGAGGCTTATTAGTAGGAACTGGAGTGAATTGGCTCAGTAAGTTTGTGTTTTGTTCTGTCTGTCCATCTGTCTGTCTGGTTCTTGGTTTCTTTGTGATTCATTATGTCTGTCTTTCTTCTGTCCATCTGTCCATGTAAGTGTCTGTCTGAGTATTTGTCTGCCAGTAGTCCTGTTATATGGTTCATACATGGTTACTGAATTAGAACCCTCCTTTAATTTACACTGTAACTTGTACTGTTACATTTGTTTATGATTCATGTAATGTTGCTTGGTGTTTTGTGAAGTCAGATTGTAAGGAAGTGTTAATCATTACAGACATATGTAACAGAGTTTACCAAAAGCTGGATGTTGTTGTTGGGTACAAGTATAGCTCACGTTCATATATTAAACAATAGCCTCTATTTAGTGTGAAAATATGTATGGATATTTGTCCAGGGATGTTATTTGCACCATGGAGCAAACAGTTCTCCAAGAACAAAGCTAGAGGAAAACTGTGCGCTTCAAGGAACAGATAATGTCCACGGGCAATATCTGTACATATTTTTGCACCAAAATAGAGGCTATTGTGTTTATTGTCCTTCAAATGCAGGGCAGGATGTTTTCTTTTGAGTGTTCTCTGGTGCGACTTAATGAACAAAATTCTTCAGTAGCAACCACAAAACCCTCTCTCATCCTAAATTAAAGATGAATCGTAAGATTTAAGATTATCATAAGATTTGAAAATTGGGGAATATCACTCGGTTGATATTCTTGGATATCACCCAGTTTTAGCTGGGGAATATTTGGTGGGATATTTGATGTATTGTAATTGCTATTAGCATTATATTTCATTCTGACATATTCTTCTTCTTCTCCTTTCAGATTCTTTTAAACTGACATACCTCAAGAGCGAAAACCAGCAGATCAGTGTTAGTTTGTCTAATAAAGATATAGCCTGGAAATCTGACCGAGAAGTTAAATTCAAAAATCCATCTGGGAACCTCAAGGAGGCTTTCAAAGGTTATGCCAAACCACCCAACTGGCCTAGACCTGTATATGAATTAGACACGAACAACACTGACAACAATGGCTTCCAGAATGAGGATTTCATTGTCTGGATGAGGACAGCAGCGTTTTCAACTTTCCGCAAGCTCTACCGCAAAATTGTCCACTCTGGAGAGTTTAAGAATGGTCTGCCAAAAGGCGAATACCAGCTTGACATCATGTACAGTATCCTTTATTACAGTTGCATTAGAACTTCACAGGGGATGAATTTTCTCCATGCAAAGACAGCTATGTTTTGTGTGTCACCACATGTGGTATAGTGTCAACTAAGTAATTTATAGAGGAACAAAGTTTTACTACTTTTGAAAGTGGGGCCATGTGGAAATGTTTAGTTGACACAATGCGCTACACATAAAAATTATTGACCTTTGAACTCTTATGTATATAATTTACTTTTAGGTCTTGTACCTTCATATCTATTAAAGTTTTTTTCTCCAGAATTTTTTTTTTCCATAGCCAATCAAGGTGTTTTTTTTTTTCATAGTTGCTTGCTCAAGAGTAATCCTTGTCTTTCTCCTTGTCCTTAGTCAGAGGGCACACTAAGCATTCTTAAGTTTTTTTTTTTGCACTTTTTTTTATCTTTGTAGCTGTTTTCTTTCTCTCATACACTACAAGAGTTGTTTTATATGTTCGCATTTTTATGTAATTATCAATGCATTTACTCTTTCAACTGGACCAATATTAATAACATTATAACTGAAGTGGCTACCCTGTCTAAACATCTTCAAGTATTATTATTATTTTTTTATTATAATTGTTAAAGAGTAGTGGTCAATTGACTACCAGTATTAACAGTTCCATTCTGTTTTAGAAGACTTTACATTTGTTATTTTTAGCGCTTGGTTTTCCTTTGATCATGCAATTTCTTTTCAAATTACTTCTTTGACTTGAGAACAATGCACACAGATTTTCCTGTGACTTCATTTGATGGCGAGAAGAGAGTGATTTTAAGCACAACATCATGGATAGGTGGGAAGAATCCTTTCCTTGGAATTGCCTACATCACTGTAGGAATTCTCTGCCTAGTTTTGGGAGCATCCTTCTTGATCATTCATCTCAAGTTTGGGAAAAGGTAAGTCTATCGTTCATTTCAATGTGTTGAGAATGAACAATTTTCAATGAAACATTCACGAGCATAAATTATGTTCTGTTGTTATCTGCTGTCTGTTCACTTTGGTCCAACCACTGTGTTTACATTTATGTATGAGCAAGGAAGTTATCGACCTTATCAAAGCATCATGTGATTTACTCGACCCTTTAACTCTCATGAGTGACTAAGACAGAATTTCTTCTTACAATATCAGTACAATGTCAAGCAGACAGGTGGTGAGATAAGAGAAAAATATAAATTAGATGATTATTAGCTGATTCAAAAACTAAATTCTCCTAACTAAGATTATGAGACTCTTATAGTGGACAATAAGGAGAATTATCAATGATATCTTGGTAGTAAAACAGTTTAGACTAAATTGAGACCAAAAACAGAGTTTTTCTTACCAAATATGCCTGATGGAAGTTGATTTGCAAATTATTATTTTTTCCTCTTTGCCATTTATGCAAATCAAATGCTTTCTACCTGTTTGGTATCTTTCAAAGAGCTGTAAAAGGAGTTGCTTGTACCCTTTGATAGCCTCAGCAATGTCTCAGTATTTAAGTTGTCAGTTAACCATTGTCTCAGTAATGTTTCTATTTAAATACTTTTTAAAACAAACTAAAGTAACTATGGAAACCTCTGATTGGTGAAATGGGGCTGAATTAGTGCATCACTACCCTTAGGTTACCCATTTTCTCATGTAAGTAGTTCAAATTCCTGACATGTTGCATTGGAGGCTATGGCAGAACAAAGCACATCTGGGAGGTTTTATAGTCGTCGAAAAACTCATGGAGAAGATTTAACAAGGAAACTAATAACAGAATGTTTGAAATAGGGGGATAGTTCACAGAGGTTTCTTTGCAGGAAGTCTTTTTGCAATTGCCAAAAAATACAGGGTTAAGTATGCAGCAGTAAAAAGAAAATTGGAAGGACTTGTGTGAAGAAAGATATGAAAACATGAAGTGACGGTAGCACAGCATAGGAATGGAATGCGATGAAAATGTGTCACGGTAGTGGGCAGGGCAATGATGCATAAATTTGGCCATTCCATAAATCAGTGGTTTTCATAGTAAGTCAAGAACATTCTTTCTTAGTACCAGTGCTTCATTTCCAATAACACCATAAGGATTCACAATTTGTTTAAAATAGTTCCTTAAAAGTTAATTAAATTAAATTTATTCAGTTAATTGTTGGGTGTCAAACAAAGCTTAAACTCAAACTTTTGACTAAAACAAGGTGCTTAAGAGGTAAACTTGATGAACTTAATGTGTCAGTTCTTAAGCAGCTGCATTCTGTTGATTGGTGTCTGTATCAGTTACTAAATGAATGAAGCTGAAATTTGTTAGGTAAACATTCTAAGAAGAGATGAAAAATTTACATTTTGGAAAACCAAGGTTGAACATTCAAAGTTCAACTTTGTAAGCAAACCTTACACATAACAGCTGTTCAGTACACAAAGATTAGCAAAAACATCCCCATTTTGTAAAATTGCGACAAGAAAAATTTTGATTTATGAACCTGTTGCCTTCAATAGTTTGTTTTTATGAAGTGACTTTGTTGAAAGTGAATAATTTTACAAAAGCTTTCATATTAGGCACAAGCTGGCAGTTGAGGAAAAAATAAGATTCTGCATTCCTCACCTGGTTGTTTTTGGGAGTGACCCTCATCACCAGGTGTTCAAAAAATCAAAATCATTATTGAAATATGAAAACTGGTGAAGTTTGTTGCAAGAGGTCTGAATGAATAGAGAAAGAGGGCAATTTTTTAAAAGATAAGAACAAAAACTGAAATCTGGTTATTATACATTGAAAAGCTGGTTTTGTATTTAGTCTGTAGTGTTAGCATTCTCCAACATCTGTTTACAAAAGACCTTATTTTTCATTCACAGGGATTATACCAATAGTGATCGTGGAATGCAGCTGCGAGAGATGGGAAATTAAACTGTTATTGTGTAACTAGTTTTATTTAATGAGTAATTTGTGCTGCTTGACAAATTAAACACTATGTAGTGAAAAAGTTATGTCTTAAACCTTAAGTTAAAAAAAGATCCAAAGGCTAATTTAAGGACCTGTATTTCTTTTTCGTTAAGATTTTGTAAATGTATTAATCTTTTGTCAAATCACTGTTGAAACAATTTTGGAATACCTACTTTCCTAACTTCAGGACATAAAACTAGAAGTTGGTACCTAAATAGCCCAGGAGGCTTGGTTATTCTCTCAGGTCCAGCCCTAATTAGGTGTTGAACAATTTGACTCTTAAGCACAAGATATGACCCCTTTTAGTTCAAATATGTGACATATACGCAGAAAATAGATTTTATGGATGCCTGAAAGCATAACTTACTTTCATGAAATTTTGATGCATGTTTAATTTGCATAGCATTTTTTTTAGCCCTACAATGTTAATTGCAAGAGTGCAAATTTATACCTTTGTCAACAGATAGTTTGGTAGAAAGGTGCACAATAGTAATGTGCTAAATTTCTTTTGTTTTAAAATTTCATGTTACAGTTGTCTCTAGGCAGGTACCTTGATAATTTATGTTGTAATATTATTGGGAACTGCTAAAATTGTTAATAATTTCCAGGCAGTATTCAAGAACTTTTGTTTTTGTAAAAATCCTTCTTTTAATAATAAGTTTGAGTTTTTGTGAATTTTTAAGGATTCTTGAAAAATGTGAAAAAGGCCACTCCTAACCCTAGCTTGCAATTTCAAAAGATGCACAACTAAAGTATGTCTCCATAAAATCACAAGGTGTTGAGTTGTTTGATATTGCTAAAAGTGCAGTGAACATGTTAAACTAAGCACTGACACTGTACATTTCCACTGTACCAGCAATTTTCCATTCAGTGGTTATGAGAAAATAATGATTTTGCAAAATTAATTTATCTTTTCCCAATGTTTTCTCAGTGAACTGTTCTCACATCTAATATTTTAGTACACTTATTTTAGTGTAGCAATTTGAAACTTTTGTATATATCATTAGGTGCTGGTGGGATTTGTTCACATTGCATAATGTTAATAATAATATTTAAAAGTTTGTATGAGGTTTCTTCTATTGAGCTTGTTCACCTTGCATGATTTATTCTCAACATTTGAATTTAATAGTCAGTTTAGCTAGACATAAGTACATAAAACATCATTCACTTGTCATAAGTTAGCCATGATTTTTTACTCTGACAAATTTATTTGCTTGTCAAATCACTGACTTTAGAGATAGTAAAGTGATATGCAAGGACAGAATTACCATGCTACAATAATTGTAGTAACAGATGATAGGTTTTGGACCAATTAGAGTGCACCAAATATTTGAATTATTGAAGAAAAATAAGAAAAGTACTGAAGTTTTCATTTTTTTAAAGCACAAAAAGTGGTTGTAGTGATGAGGCAGACAAACCAACAAAGGAATTATGTGACAGAGTACTACTGTAAACTTTCAGAATAGCATTTGTGGCTGATTTTTTTTCATTAAATCATGTTTTGAAATCTTAAGTACTATGCCAAAAATAACTGTAAGAATTTTGCAAAATCAGTGCTTAGGTTATGGGTATTTATTTAAGGAGGAGAGCACGCTTAACTCTATTAAAATCCAATTTTTTGCAAGGTGAAAATATGGTGTAGCATGGTCAAGTATGATGCATATTTGTTTTATCATTTACGTTAATAAATGATTAAATAAATAAATTAATGAACCATGAAGTTAGTTGAAAGAACACATTGTTATGGCTGCAATCATTTATTAAATTCTACTTGAAAACAAAATGATGAGGCTTGTGATTTTTTGGGAAAAAAGAAAAGTTGAACTTTTACAATAAAATATGTTCAAAGATAACCTTGTCTCTGAAATTAATAAGAGATTTGAATAGTTTGTATTTCTGTTTCTAGTCCTTGTTTTAGACTTCAAATTTTTCCCTGGTAGAGGGAAATGCTTGGATCTAATCTGGGGTATGGTCACAGCAGGATGGTTGGGTTGTGTTCTCAGCAATATGCTTAAATTTCATTTTATTGGCAAACTGACAGGGCAACTTTCTGAAATAATCAGGGGCATGGGAAGAGGGAGGTTATAACATTACAATGCTCCTATCACTGCAGTCAGAAATAGGAAAAATGGTTTTAGTTGCTTCATTCTCCAGAAACTGGGATTCACATTTTTATCAGATTGTATGCATGATTTTATTCACAATATCTGAACTTGATATCAAGGCAATATTGTTTAATTTTTCATCATACAATAGCATTTTGTTTCTCAACTCAAATCTCTGTGAACATGCAATTTCTAGAAATTCCATTGTGATGTCATTATCACATGAAGGTCATGTCAGGAAGGGGGTCTCAGATATTTCTTTAGTAGTCTGGGGCCCATTTCTCAAAAGTCCCGGTAAGCAAAAGGGCCTGAAACCATATTTTAATATCAATAAACTTACTCAATTATATTTGTATTGTAGTTCAATCACCCTTCCCTTTCTTTTTTCTTCGCAGCAAATAATTGGGGAATGATCATGAACATTTATTGCACTGACTATTGGTTGGAAAGTTTAGTCATATAACAAATGCTTTTTGTAATGTGGCACCTTTCTCTTTCCCATAACAATTTTCTACCAATTTGTTTCAGGCCAAGATCTGTTCAGAGCTTCAGGAGATGAGAAGTAAAGGTTGTGGAATGCCAAGAAGGAAAAACAGATTACACCACAAGAGAGAGATAGAGAGAGAGAACCATTCTTGTAGCATCTAGTAAATTTGAGCACATTGCTTATAACATGAGACCTATTCAAAGAATATCAACCCTTTGGATCTTGTGCATGGTTACAACCAGTGGGAAAAAAAAGGTTGACATCTTTCTCTTTGGGTGACATCAAAACACTGAAAAAAATTGAGAAATTTCTTGTCTTTTTGGTATGGTGAAATAAAGCAATTACTTGTGATAATTGACCTGGAAAGAACACTTAAAACTACTGCACCTGAACTGAAAAATTGTCTTTTATTTCAGGTTTCAAAAAGGGTATTTTAAGGTTTGGGTGGAAATAACTAATTGAAAAGGTGATTTTATGAAGTTTTGCAATTTCCAGTGCAAGTTTCATACTGAAAAGTAGAACAGCCAGAAGTAATCACTAATTGTTTACAGGGCAGGTTGAAAATTCATTAATCCTTCAACTTTCAGGAGTGATTAGTGTCTGATATGCTAAAGTAAATTTAAATTTAAATCAATGGTGTTGTTTTGAGATTCTAAAGAGTAACTTAAAGTAGACATTTTGAATCTTGCTTGGCAACATGTCCACTTACCTGTGAGGTTTCGGGGTCTCCCTCCTTTTTTTCCAACTCCTGGCAATCCTTTTAATAATTGGAAGCTGCGGGAAAAAAAGTGGTTCCTCTCCTGTACCACTTCTCCTTTACAGAAGACATTTTTAGGATCTTCACTCAGAGTACTAATTCCCAGGGCAACTAACAGAGCAATGTAGAGTCATCTGTTGGGGTAGTGTGCCATTGCATCCTGGAATTTTAAAGGGTGTAAACAGTTTTATCTTCTATCATACAGATAGTGGTTAATTTTTGAACTTTAATTAAGATATGCAGTTGATATTTTCAAAGGAAATTACACCCCGTAAGCATCAGCTTGACTGAAATTAGGTGGATGTATGTGTGAATGTAATATGTAACTGTGTTTCTTGTGTGAGTTAAATCTCAAATTTGAGAGGTGAAAACCCTTTGAACATTTTGTGTTACATTTCTTTTAGCAAGGACATTGACATATTTTTCTTTTTGTTAGAGTCTGATATATGGTTAGAAGCTACCATGGCAACACACAGTTTAACAAAATTGTGGAGGGTGGGGTGGAAAATGTTCCTCTGGGTAGAAGAGAAATTTTCTCAGAAGTTTTCTCAGGTTTTGTAGCCCATCTAGAGTTGCCATCACACTACAGCTAAAACTATCACTTGTATTGCCTAGGACAGATTTCTTGTGTATCACCCAGTTTGCCTGGTTCAATAATTGATATTTTCATTAAGTTGTACAAATTATTCTTTAATAGTTGCTGTAAGAAATTTTTCGAACTTGTGCTAAAAATTAGATATAAGAAGTGTAGATTGTTTGATTTGAACATGAAGTTCAAACTTTGGTCAGAGACGAAATGATAAGATTATCAAGATTTTTAGTGTGTATTTAATGAAAAGAAATTGTTACTTATATAATGTATTTGTGATAAATTATGACAGTAGGTATTTCAATCTGCTAATTAAATTAGAAAAATGAATATGAATGTGAGAAACAAACTAGTGTGATTGTTTTAGTAGTGTATAAAACTTGGATCAATGTCAGTATCTGTACACCTACTTCTTCCCTAGCCCAACATTAACCTCAACTTGTTATCAGTTGACTGTTTATGATTTAAGGGGTAGGTATGCAGTTGCTCAGATAGTACCACTGATTCAAGGACTTTTATTACCTTTATTGACAACTTTTCAACTTTTATCAAGTTTATATTCTCAGGATGGGGTTAGAAAAACTGACCTTGCAATAGACACCTCAATATTGCAACAGAAGGGGGAGGGGGGTCTATAGATGAATGCATAAACTTCTCCCAATAAGACAGGGAAATGGGGGCATGCTTAGTAGGACATTATTTTTTGTCTAAAAAAGTGACAGGGGGGGAAGGGTTAAAATCCCCCTAGCACCTCCCTCTATAGTTTCCCTTATAGAGAGTATTGAATGCATTGGTCATTAACGGCTTTTCAACTGCTTCTTGCAGCTTGATTATGAGCCAAAGAGGCTGGTCATTGGAATTGTTTAAGAGTTACAAGATTGTTGTCAACATCGTGTAGTTTACATCAGGGGGAAACCCAAACTTAGAGATGATTGTTGGGAATTTTTCCAGGTGCATGAATTAATGGGAATTTCAATTAACCCTCAATAAATGTAAACATATTGACCATCCCCTCTGACGGACAAACGAAGTTATGTGACTTTCATTTTGAAAATATAGGTTTTTTCCCATCACACGGCGGATCCTAGATTAGAGGTTCAGTTTGAAAGTACTGTCTACTCTTGGGGGGCACTGCACGTCAAAACTCCTCCCCACTCCTCACATCTCCTCACCCTCTCCCCCTCACTCTTAAATTTCACACAATGAACGTCATGGAAATGATCCACACGGCAGGGAGAGGATCTGAGTAGACAGAGAATAAAAAATGAACTGAATGATTTGTCTTCCTTGCATCAGTTTAATTTTGGGGCTAAATCATTATCGTTCAAGGCTTTTTTTCTTCGTCTTTTGTCAAGTGAAATGATGAAAGAAAAAAGCGGGCCTAGTCTCCGAGACGGAAATGTCGGGAAAATACGGTTCACAGTTCATTTAAATTGCGAAAAATCTCATCTTCCTACAGAAACGATCAGTTGTTCGGTTCAGTTTATCAGTTTACTATCATGTTTAGTGATTAAGTGTTCTCTTCAGTTCTCTATGTTGTTCATAATTTAACGCCAATATTGCAGCCTATTTGAATTCGAGAATAGTAAATTTGTTTCCTACGGTTATAAAATCACATTTTTCGCGCGCCCTTGTACTCCCTCTCGACCAATCAAATGCGAGCACGTACAATAAGCGACTGGTAATCCTTCGGAAAGCAAAAACAAATATGGCGGACGGAGTGACGCAACTTTGTGAACTCTGCAACAGATTGCGATTATCATTGTTTACATCCTCGAAATTGAGAAATATGCCTCCTGTGTTTCATTTGATTCTTGCAAGCCTTACGGGAGTTGCTGTGGCGCTGATCGCGACTTACATTCCCTCAATATGGAGGCCGTGGTTTTGGCGTCCATCACTCGAATCATACGCACCTGGTTTCAATCTTGTCTTAGCACCACAAACCGCTTTAGTGGAGAAAAGTGAGTTTATCTCTAATCTTTATGGTGTGTTATTGAATTTAATTTATTGCTTGTAGTCCGTTGGAAGGTGTAGATGTAGGCACTCCTGCAAGAAATTATACGCATTACTGCTGAGTGTGATCCGAATTTGACATATGTTTTCGCTCGAATCTGAGATCAACTTCCTGTTTGTAACGGTTGATCTATTATCTTGGATCGAGATTTTCCTCTGACTTCTTAGGTCTATATAGTAGCACGAAGAAGATATATCTTTTAGGGCTTAGAGGTAAACTCCTGTAACTTATTTTACGTTGTTCCTCGGTTTTTTCCCTGACGTTATCCATGATTCAGTGATGTAAATAAATCACTACAAGCCTTTTCCGAAGCGTAATGAATTTGATGGTCGTAGATCCACTTCCTTTACACCAAGAGTGATGCAAGTCATTTTATTAACGGTTTCAATCATGAGATCAAGATTTGTGGGAGAGGTTAAATAGTACGCGAAATCAAGAGTGTTTTACTTCATCAAGGGAAGTGTATGATAAACAGATGGTAACATAGTTAACACTGTGGTCTCAGTATCAAGAGGCATCAGTTTTCCAATGTTACATACAACTGGGTATTTGAGTGTCTTGTTTGAAAGCCGATTAAACCAAATATGAGGTCAACTGCACACTGAAACACCACACTTTGCCATGACAGTTAATCTCAATTAGTCCTGGTCATGCCACCAGATTCTTAGTTGAGAAAGACAGAAATTTATATTTTACTAAGGAAAAAATATCTGAGAATCTGATTGATCAATCCCCTCTTCTGGCAAGTGTGTATATTCTTGTTGATAAGTGTTGAGAATTTTGTATCTTACCAAGCTCTCATATCAACACTCTTTTGCTGATAAGTAAGTCAATTGTCATCTCCTGTTTACTAGACATTGTATTGGTATTTTAGGGAGGAGTAACTTGCTGATCACTCCTGCAACTAAGAACTATGTTCAAACATTGAGAAAAAATCAAAATCAAAACTCCCAATTGTAATAGGGTTACATTACATAGAGCTAAATTGTATTCAGCATGATTTCTTGCGTGACTGGGTGTAACGTGGAAAGTGGTAGGGTCAGGGGATGGGAATTTGTACCACCTCCTGGTCAGAAGCCAAATCCTTGCAATGGGAGGTTCCTGTGATACTACCTAATCTGAAGGTATTTGAAAATTATTTGTCTTAAAATACATACGTTGATTATCTTAGTTGGGGCCTGAGGGAGATATAAATATCTGTGTTTTTTAATCAAAGTTTGCACACCCCTCCAATCATAAATTCCTGGCTCCACCCTGAAAAGGTTTCACTGCTTGTTGTATGCTACTAGTAAGCTGTAAATCTAAAACTGTTTTCTTCTACAGCTCCTTTGCAAGGGGAGGCTCTTCATGCTCTTAAACTTGCTTTAGAAATGAATGGTGAAAGAAAAAGAGACAAAGCCTTGAAACTTTTCAAACAAGCTGAGGCATTATCACCTCATCACCCTGAGATTCTTTTACATTATGGGGAATTTCTTGAAGAAGATGATGTTATTCATGCTGAGCATCTTTATACAAGAGCTCTAGCTGTTAGTCCTGAAAACTCCAGGGCAATGGCAAACAGAGGAAGGACATTACCCAAGGTACGACAGCTTGATCAGGAAATGCTTGATAAGATTGATAAGAAAAGAGATGAACTCTTCCGTGTTCCAAAAGGAAGCCTAGCTATGAAAAGAGCTGTTACTGAGGCTTACTACAAACATATATATCACTCAAATGCCATTGAAGGTAACACAATGACATTATCAATGACAAGAGCAATTGTGGAAACAAGAATGGCAGTGCCTGGAAAGAGTATATTAGAGCACAATGAAGTCTTAGGGCTTGACGAAGCAATGAAATTTGTCAATGGGTCCCTACTCCAAAAACAAGAAAAAATTACATTAGATGACGTTGTTGAAATACACCGCCGCGTTTTGGGACATGCTCACCCTTTGGAAGCTGGTAGATTCAGAACCACACAGGTATTTGTAGGGAATCATGTTCCCCCCAGCCCAATGGAGATTGAAAGACATGTGAATGAATTTAATGAATGGCTTATGTCCAGAGAACCTGAAATGCTTCATCCCATAGAATTTGCAGCTCTTGCGCATTACAAACTTGTCTACATTCATCCATTTACAGATGGCAATGGAAGAACTAGCAGACTGTTAATGAATTCCATTTTGATGCGAGCAGGGTTCCCCCCAGTTATTATTAGATTTCAAGACAGATACAAATATTATGAATACTTAGATATGGCCAATCATGGTGATGTTAGACCTTTTATAAGATTTGTGGCCAGGTGTACAGAAAGAACCATTGATGAGTATCTGTCGGTAACAACTATTTATCCAGTGGGTCATGAGAAGCATCCAGAGTTGACTGATGCCCATGACATAAATAGTGAAGATACATTTAATGTGGATAAAAATTCACAATAATTAAATAAAAATTAGCTTGCCTTTTGTGCAGAAATATGCACAGATATTTGTCCACAGACATTTCTGTTCTGAGACGAGGATAGTTTAAGGAAAACTTTGAACTTTGTAGAACAAATGATGATGTTGAAGGGCAAATGTATGAGTAGATTTTTGTACCAACTGGAGGCTATTGTGTTTATTGTCCTTCAAATATTTGTGCAGTGCATGGGGAAATCTCAAGGAACAGCTTCCTGTTTGCTGCATGGGATGTTTTCTTTTTAGTGATTGCTGTTATGACTTTATGAACAAACAAACATGTTACTTCCTCTTTTGTAACAGTAGCTGAACCAAGTGCACACAAGCAAAATTATTTGATGAATTATAATATCACATTTATTCTGGTGATGTTAGGGATATTTTTTCAAATTACACTGCAAAGAACAGTTGTACTGTTAAAAATATTTAAAGAATATATACAGGAGGTGAAATTGAGATTCTTTTGTCCTTTTTTTTTTGGACAACCTTACTCAAAACAGCTGGATAACTGCACCTGTATGTAGTAACTCAGCAAAAAATATTAACTGAGCTGTATTTATAACCAAATATTGTACTAGAAAGGTCTATTTAATAGTTTAAAATGTTAATCATCAAAAAAACAATACACAGGTTTCAAAAATTAATGAGAATATATGTCAAAGTATTTTATTGAGAAATCAAAGAGGTCTGACCTACAGGTATCTTTTTCTACTTTAATTATCCACTCCTTCAATTCATTTCCTTCCCCTCCACACCCTCTCTGTGGTTTTATGACAAGTGATTCTGTATGCAGAAGAAGTTCAGTGCACAATTGCAGAATTCAGTTTGCAAATTGAGACTGTTAGACCACACATTTGTGGGTTTAAGAACCAGTTGGATTTGGGAATGGTTCTAGGAGCTGAGTGAAGTCCAATTCTATCTGTAATCCTTCAATTGATTACAGATTCAAAGGACAGCACAGTGGAGTCAGTTTTGTCAAGCAAGGAGTATGATTACATGAAGTCCTGTTACCAATTAGTCATGACCATTACAATTTAAAAAAAAAACAAATACATTCAGGGGAAATGTCTCCAGTAAAGACATTGTTTAAAGTAAAAAAATTCCTCCTTTTTGGAAACTCCCCTGTTTTAATAGGAAAGTGCTTATTGCTATGGTAATTGTTATCAATTCTGTGATCAGTGGATTTAGCTAAGATAACTTTGTATGATTGGCTGCTTTAACTTTCCAAATACAGGTCTGAGTACAGCCAACTGTCCAATCACACTGTCTGATCACAACTCTACAAAATAATTAGTGAAAATAAAGCAGCTAATGCACCCATCACATTTGAGGAAATTGTGATTTATGATTAATTTAGAAATTGCCTGTGATTTGCTTTGCCAGCACTGTTTTCCTGTCAGGAGGAAAACTAAAACAAAACTATAATAATACCAAACAAATAAACAAAACCAAGAATACAAACATAGTGAAATTTGCATTTATTATTTTTTTCTCCTTTGTTCTGTACCAATTTTCTGTTAATTTACAAATACAGCTGAGGGAGCACAAATCATAATTGTGTCAGAAAATTACTGCATATTAACAATAGAGGAAAAGATCTTTACTAAGAAAAATTAGTGCTCACCATTGAAAAATTCTAACTATGCCCTAAATATTTACAATCCCAGGTACCAGTACCTTGATTACATTCAAGATGTACTGACCAACCACCCTTGTTATAATTTCAAAGCCACACATTTGTCTCAGATGTTTCTAAGAATTTGTTGTTTGTCTGAGCAAATATCCATGCGATTCACCCTCACAAGTTTTTTTCGTTTTAACCCTCTAACTATCCATTTTGCGTCATAATTTCTTAGAATTTCTAACAATTCTCCACATAATTAAGCTTAAATTCTGTCTCTATCTTGAGTTCTGTCTTTGCTACATGTATCAGCTTGTTTCTTGACCAACAGCCAGTTAATTAAGCCTTTAATCCCCAGAAGTGATTGAAATGTAACTTCTCCCAATTCCCTTAAGTTCTCTTATAAACAGGCTTTGAGAAAAGATGAGCCTATCAGCTAGAGGGTTTTATCTTGATCTAAGATCAAATTCTGTTAATCCAATCTAAAAGGAAATTTATGATGGTCTATAACGAGAAATTCTAATTGGATCTTGGGAGTGCTTATTATATCCTAGTACAGTACAATTACAATAAATCAATTTTTTATCATTCTTGGCTATTCTTTTTTTTTTAAAGTACTGTGCAAGAAGAACACTTTCACAGCCAGCATGCAAGGTTACAATCCAGCTAAAGACATGGTGAACACTTGAAATATTTTGGGACTGTTTATCACAATCTTATAACAACTGGTCATTACAGTTCATAATCTCACATCTAATTGGCTTCTTCCTCAACACAAAAACAGTTCTGAAATATTTCAGGTGTTCAAAAATCATGTGGGTTTGCTTGTATGTCATTTTCCTAGTCCTCTCTCTCTTTCTCTCTCCTTAACTCTTTAACTCCCATGAGTGACCAAGACATAATTTCTCCTTACAATATCAATACAATATCAACCAGATAAGTGATGAGAATTAAGAAAAATATCAGTTTGGGGAGAATTAGTGGACCCAATACTAAATTCTCTGAACCAACACTATAAGAATTATATGGTTGACTGTAAGGAGAATCAAAAATTTTATCTAGGAGTTAAAGGGTCAAGTGTCACAAAAGTTAATGCTCTGAGTAATAACAAGTTCTACAGCTCTATCAATTTCTACTATTTTCAAGATCTTATAATCATATATTAAAATACAATGTACATAGAAAGACTGCTTGTTCTTCATAAAATAATTTTTTGCTTCATTAAAGGATTCTATTTTAATATCAAAATGTTATTTTTGCATAAGTATAGAAGAGGTACTACAGACTGTAATTTCCATCAGATTATAGAATCAAAAATACAATTTTCTATAATGTGACTGCAACCCTCATAACTGCTTCAAAGAACCTCTCTTAACCCTTTCACTCCCATGAGTGACCAAGACAGAATTTCTCCCCACAATATCAGTACAATATCAAGCAGACAAGTGATGAGAATAAAGAAAAATATCAATTAGGGGATTATGAATGGATCCAAAACCAAATTCTCCAAACTAACAGCACAAGAACTGTATGGCAGACAGTAAGGAGAGTTGCCAATGAGATCTTGGGAGTAAAAGGGTTAACAAGATACTCACTGTAACAAAAAGTGCTTTCTTATCATAATAATTATTTCCTCTCTTTACATTTACTTGCACAGATGACAAACTAAGCTGATAATCAAAACTATAACAAAATTCTTGAAGGTGATTGCTTATTACCAGGGATAATTAACACTTTATGCCTGAGTAAGTGGACAGAACACATTATGTGCGCATACTATTGCTTTACATTTTGGCGAGTTAACTGGTTTTTTTTTTGTTATAAAAATGTAGAACGAATGTCTTGTTTCTTTCTTTAATTTTGTCATAGTTTTGATTTATTAGTAACAGGACTTTGTGTTGTCCAATTCTGTCTGTAATCATACTTGTGATTAACAAATTGGACTCCCACTTGCTAATCACTTGTATGACTACAGATGTAACTGGACTCCACTCAGTCCTATAACCATTACTACTTGCATGTTTCATTGTATGTAAAAAATAAGAGATGCATGTATTTCACAGGAGAATCAAGGTCTGAAAAGGATCATGATGAGTTATATTTGAACGTTATCATACATCTTCAAGGATTCTTCTAACTTCTGTATTACCTAGAAACAGCAGAGGAAAGGAATTACAACAGAGAAAGGATTGGCAGAAAATTCTCAGAAAATGGGAACACTAAATTGACCTAAAGCTGCAGGTGTCATTGAGTTACAAAATTATTCTGTTAGTGAAGGCTAATTTTGAAAGATGGGACTACTTTGAAGGCAAATAAACCTCTGTAAAACATAACAAGCCTCTCCATGGGTTTTAAAGTTAAATAACTGAAAAGGGTTTAAATTAATTGAAAGCAGAAATTTGAATTAACATTGTAAAAATATTGGTGATATATATGTATCATTAAAGAGTAATAAAAGTAATCAGAAATATAGAGCACAGGTGAATATGGTGCTTTTTGTGGAAACTGATTGGCTGGTTTGGAAGTGATAAGCAAGTACTAGTCACCTCTGAGCAGCAAAAGAGACAAAATAAGGTGTCAACAATTTAATATCTGACCATTTTCTGGAATGTTGATGGGAATAATTAAACTATTTTTTTGGTTTCTGTGAGGTGTATTCTGAAACAATTATTCACCTCAGTGTTGGAGAAAATGGTGAATATTAAAAAATATTCACCTCCACTTCCATGAATAGTTATTGAAAAAAAAAATACTACAAAGGTTGTAGTGATTTTTGCATGACTGTTTACTTTCAAACAACCAATTTAAGTTAAACCCTTTACCCTTTGATGATGGCTGATTTGTTCTTGTAGAAAGTGCTGCATCATACTTTTAAAGTCTTTAACTTTTTGATCATGAAAATGGCTCATTTCAGCTGTGAACAGAAAGAAATATAAATTTAAAAAAAACACATTAAGTATAGAAAATCGGTCAATATGTACTTTGACAAATTTGTGTCCCTGGTAGGGATTAATAAAAATGACTCAGTTAAAATGGTATGTGTTTGATTAATAAATTTTACTGTATCAAGTACGAATTTCTATTCTGTTCTAGTCATCAGCGAAATCATTGGTTTAATTCTGGGTCACAAATGAAACAATATATCCATCCTGGCTAAACGAGTCACTACAAAGAAACAGAGCTACATGAAATTTAGGGGGCTTAGAACAATTACCCTCAGTCACTCCTTTTTTTGCAACCATACATCAAGTCCTACACTTTTACATAGTTTAATTGCTTTGGTGATAGTATCATGTAAGATATAAATTCCCACCAAGCATCAGTAGACAATAAAATGCCTTTTTTTCCCCATACCAGATATTACCATAGCAATACTATAGCCTCTTGGAACACCGGCCCTAACTTCAACTTTATTTGGCTCTCACTTCAAAACAAGTTTGGAAATCCCTCAATGTTTGTTAAATCAAATGGTAATCAGCACATCAAGTTTCCTACAAAGTCTGTAGTTTAGGTTCCGAGGCACCTTTATTCTTTAATATTCTATGGTGCACTTACCATATGAAACATATGTTATGGTGTCTGCTCGTGAGCAAACTTCTTCAAAAGTAGAATCCTGAAAAGATATCATAATAATGATAATAAAAAATAAATTGATAACTACTGGTTTTAATTCTCACTGTTAATTTTCAAACACCACTGCATGCAAGAAGATAATAATTGTCATAGAAACTGAATTTAAATCCTACTGAGGAATCACCTATGCAAATTTTTCAAAGCAAAGTAACATGCTGACAACAGTGGAGGCTGATAAACAAGCAGCTTTAACAGTATGTTCAATTTTTTTGAACAACACAACTTAGGTCTCCTGTACCTTTCCACAACATGTAACCTACATGCATTGGGTTGAAGTTGCATCACACATAATGTTAATTTAACTTTTGCACTGCTGTCAATCATAACATCGACATCTCAGAAACCAAAGTCAATACATAAATTTCTCACTGTTCAGAATGACACATTCCAGAGTTGTTTTGTGAAAGGTTAACACCAAGTACGGAAAGATATTACTCATTGGATCTCCAATGAGGGATTCAACCTTTGTGCTCTGTTACTTTACCACTACACTACAGAAAACTTGCTGGTGAGCAATGCAATTACTGGCTGAGAGTGCACAATGTTAAATAAACTAATTGAGTACCAAAAGCAAAATAAATCTGCTGTAAACTGATTGATTGTGTATAGTTAACTCCTATTAACAATTAAGTAACAAAATTATTTCTTGTGCAATTTAGAACGGATAAGCGCGAAGGAAATTTTCTCTGCCTGCTTTTTCTCTGTTATGATTCCTGTCCTCTACTATTTCCAGGTATACAACAGAAATTAAAAGGCTTGCTGAGTATATATGATATTGTTTCTGTACAGTTGAACCTATACTAAATGGCACCATATTAAGTGGTTACCCTATATTTAGCCACCAGTTGCCAAAGTCCCAAATTTGTTTGCCCTTAATCACTGTAATTTTCACCTCTTTTAAGTGGTCACCTCAATTAAGCGGTGGCAGTCACCCTTTACTAAGTTGCAAAAGCCTGTTTGTATTGTTTTCCACCTATATTGAGCAGCACCTAAAGCCAAACCTCTCTTATAAAACTAAGAATAATCTTTAAAGTAATGTTTAATCCTTGATTCTCTTCCAAAATCAGAGTAAATAGTATTTTTTAGCAAGATTCTGCATACTAAGTGGTCAATTATGGCATCAAGAGGCTTTGTGTACCGTTTTTTATAATACCCCTTATCTGAAGAACCTGTAATAAGCCATAACCCTACCATTCCCAGTGGGTGACTGCTTAATACAGGTTTGACTGAGTGTCTAACTCAGCCTTGTTCTTATTGGAAATGTAAACCATAATTGTCAAATGAAAGCATTTATATTTTTTCATGCAGTTATCATAATACATATCTCTAAAAAAGGAGTAAAGATTACATGTAACAAGATTTATATGCTGCAATACCTCCATCTTCTCTTCATCCTTAAGTCTCTGACATTCTTTCACTTTGCCAATTGTACCCTTTTGAGGAATAACAGAGTAACTTTAGGACATATTGTTTGTCCATAAAGACAGCAAATGCAGTTAAAAGATACTAGCAATCTTATGATGTTCACCTTGTGAACTTGTAGTACATCTGGGTAGGTGCTTAGCATTCCTGAATATTCCTTAAGTCCTTCTAACAAAGGTAAAAAGTCATTCTTGGGCTAAAAAAAAAACATTGCATATCATATTAACAAGAGAAAACACCATCCTGTGAATCAAACAGGGGTAGAAATGCTAATTCAAACTGACAAATTCTGCAACCTTTTTATCAAGCCTTTGCACTCCAAACCTCACATATGAAACAAGAAAATGGCTCAAGAGGTAAAGAGGTTGTATGAGACCTTAAGAGACCAGGATATAAATATCTCCTGAGCTAAAAGATTGTTTTACCAGTTGGAAACTCTTGTTTGTCTGGTATCTAAAAGCATTTTAAAATCAGTTAGATTTGTGAAATTGGGCTCAAAAAATATCCTTCAAGTTTTTCAATTACCATTGTAAAATAGTTGCATAGAATTCTAAAACTTGTCCAAAGAAAACATGACTTTTTGTGGAAAATAGAATTTTGACATGGCATGTCTAACAGAGGAGTTGAGGGGTTATGAGATAAAGTATCAAGGTTGTGTGAAACTGTGCAATTGTCACCACAATTTAAACTATAGTTTTCTTGGGGTTGTAGGCCTAATTTTGTTGCAGTAAAATTTTAATTTTAATTAACTTGCAGCTACCAGGCTATTTTCCCACTTTCACCAAGTGCTCCTTCTTTGGAGCAGGCAGTAGAAAGTTTCTTTTAGAATCTGTTTTTATCTATTACAAGTGAAATGCTGCTAAATTACTTCTATGAGGTCTCTTACAAACCTGTTCTGCTATCATTTCTCCAATATCATCATAAATTTTTGCTGTATGCTCTACTGCTTGAGTTAATTGTTGAGAACCTAAACAAAACAACAAGAGAACCCAAAAAAGTTATTTTGAAAACAGAATTATGAAACCATAGAACATGTACTACATTTCAAAAAATACAGCTGAGTCATTTCCGTGGAACTTGGAAACACTTTGTTTCAATTCTGAAAGCGCAAATATGATATGTAATAAAAACTGCCATACACATGTACTTAATGCTACCTAATTTCTGTAGTTTGCTTTTTGAACTTTAGTTTTCTCATACACAAGTTTATTCCAAAAAGCGCAACAGCATTTAATATATATTTTTGATGTAATTGCATTCCTGAGCATCATGAACAGAAAGATTACACTGAAAGGGGAACAATAGTGTATAAATCCTCATGAATGTTTTATTTGAGAGACTGCTAACAGCAGCATGACTTACTTGGCGAATCTTCATCAATAGCAAAAGCTGTGCTAAGAGATCCAAAAGTGCTACCAATCTTCTTATATTCATTCCTGTATGCTGAAAAGGAAAATGTTTAACCCAAATGAAGCAGAGTGTATACCCCTAAGACACCTACAAAACCATGTCTCAAGTTCCCCTTGTACATTTACAATAAAACATACCACAGTGCACACCAACTGCAACTCTTAACAAGTGACAAAAAGTCAGTTCGAAATGAAACAAATTGTATTTTAAGCTGTGGATGATATACAAGTAATGAGGCCATCTTGGCTGAAGAGAAGCCTGAAAAAGTTCAGGCTTTGACAGGGTTTTGTACCCATGCCTCCCAGATACTGGTAATGATCACTTCATTCATTTTAGTGTAAATTCCTTTTAGGGAAATGGAGAATTTGCTTAAATTTGCATTTCTCCCAACATGTGGCTTCACAGCTAATAGTTGCACCCAACTGGTATCTGGGAGTCATGGGTTTAAAATATGTTGAAGCAGGCATTTTAGCACCTTCTTTCTGCAATTGCTTTTTAGCAATTTCCATTTGCCTGCAAAAAAAATTCTCTAATTGAAAAGTAATCTTAGATGGCAAAGAAAATTGAGATGAAAATATATTTGCTTACATCCTTGGCACTTCTCACAGTGCACTTGACCTCTGTCCTGAATTGCCCTGACACTTTCATCCATACTTTTGATAAATCGTCCAAATTGTTCTATTCTATTTTCTCTGAAAAACAGAAGATTTGCAGGGTTAGTTGTTTGGTGTAAATTACTTACAATTCATGGTATAAATTTATTGAAGTCTTGCAAACATTTGTGTTGGATGAAATTTCATGACATCATGCAGCCTTTGATATGTTCATAAAGATGTCGTCTTTCACAAGTAGACATGTAACAGATTTATTGTACAATAGGAGTAACAGGAGGCAAAAAATACAACAGCAACAAGCTCTAAATCTTACTTTGTGAAACAAGATTACAATGTGATTTGTATTCGCTACAATAAATAAAAAGTATTTTGGCAGTAAACCAACTGAAAATGGAAATTAAAATAGATATGAGTTCATTGGTACAATAAAAAATAGGTTTTGACCAATCAGAACATGACAAGTATCATCTCCTTTTTTACTTACACTGGCACAAGTTCTAATCTTTCTTGGGGTCGGTCTACTGTCATAAAAAAAGATGCACCAACAAGTTTATCACTCTCTGCTGCTCGTTTTCCTTGCTTCCATTCCTGCAAAGAGAAACCAATCACCTCCACATTATCAAATTGGTTTTGAAAATTGAAGAACATTTTAAACCCATCACCTCCTCAACTTTAAGACAAAAACACTTAACCTAAAGTAAGTTGGATTAGATACTTATACTTGCCTCAAGTCTAGTTTTGGGTTTTTCTTTAAACTTTTTCTAATAAGTGCCTCGCTCCTAATTCAATTCCCTTTGGTCTGACTGGTCCAATTTGTAATAAGTTACAATACTTTTTGGTTTTGTGAAACTGAATTGAAAAGCTCTGGATATATTTTATGTATATATGTGTAAGTATAAACTGCACCATGGCTATTTCTCATTTGTTATGAGGGAGGCGCTGAAGTCAAAAGATACTGCAATACATATTATACTGTACAGTTTAAAACTATTCACCAAGGTGAAGGTGGATGATGGTGGATATTAACTACCCCACAATGAGGAGAGGTAAAAATAACCATCACTAGCCACCAATACTGAGGTGAATATTTGCTTTAGTATATACTAAATAAGTGAGATACTATAGTTCAAAAATATGATTTTCAATCATTCATTCCTATGACAATTACAATATTTTCAGGTGCCATTCCTGCATGAGTTGCTCACTGGTGAATAGCAAAGAATATTTGGGATTTGAGTAGCCAATCAGAGCACACCTTTGATGCCATCTCCCAATTTAGTGTATACTAACAAGAAATACCCAATAAATTAGGAAAGCAGAGGATAATGCAGTCTGTAGAGGTACCACTTCACCTGGGAGAGAAAGTACCTTCTTACTACACCTCATCCCTCTTATTTCTCAGGGAGTTTGTTCTGTTTATGTGATTACCTTCTCATTCTCCCCACATGTAATAAAATGTTTGAACACCAAACTTTGAGATAGCACAGGATGAAGACATATTCTGTTCATCCACAGTTGAAGTTTATCTCTTCTTTTCTCCACAAACTCTTCACCAAATCTCCCTAAAAGCCAAAGAAAAAAAATATTTAATAGCATTTCTTTTAAACCCTTTAACTCCCAGAAGTGATTAATATGTACCTTCTCCCTAAAATATCCATACAAAATCCAGCAAACAGGTAATGAGAATACTCTATCTGATTAAGTAGAGGTTGTTATCTTGATCTAACACCAAATTCATGTTCACAAGGAAATATGAGGTAGCCAGATGGGGAGAATTAATAATCAGATGTTAGGAGTTACAGGGTTAAGCCTTTGTGTTCAGATGGAACAGCAAAACCTCTCTACAGCTGTAGCCATCAGCTTTTCCATCTCTCAGCTCAAAAGAGTGCAACACACAACAAGTTAGTAATTTGGTCCCTGATTTTAGAGGGGCCAACTCATAGCTTCAATATTATACCTCCAAGAATTTTTCCATCAAATTTTACAAACCTCTTTGATATGTATGTGGATTGTTTAATTTTTCCCTGCTGATGACAAAAATTGAGGGTGTGAAAAACTGGAACCATAATCCTTATAGTCCAACTTTGAGAAGACTTGATGCATCATCCCTTTGGTAAAGTAATCAGGAAGGCAGTGCATTCTCCTCAATTAAGAGCTGATGCAGTTTGGCTGGAAACTCAAACCCTTACTGTCCCACAAGACAATATCGCACTCTTAAAGCACACTAACTGGGCAACCAGTGATAAATAAAAGATTATTTGAGTAAAATAATAAGTGAGTGCTGTTCACTAACCTGTGATTTGTTTGTCTGGTAATGGTGGAATTGATATACATGTATACTTTTCAACCAAGCGGCCAAACAGCCAATCAAAATGTTTGTACCGTCTGCTGACAACAACTCCAGTATTCTAAAGAAAAAAAGTAATTTATTTCATTAAATCTATGTCCTAAGAGCATGCTATTTCACTATATCCATTTAAGGAAACAAAAGGCACAAAACAGGGGATTTTGCTGTTTATTAATTATTTTTATCTATTATGCAAAATGACAAGAAAAAGAAGGAAGGTTATTGAGATCACATATTAACGATTACATCAAAGATGACCACGATTAAGAATTATTTATATAATTTACAGTTCTGTAGCAGTTCAGTAATGTTAGGAATTTCAAGGGGTGTGCCAAGGAAGCCAAATAGAAGCTGGTAGTTTGTCTAGATTGGCTCGTTGGGTGTTTCAATAGATGATGACAAGAAAATGCTATGTCAAAGGTTGGACAAGTTTTATTCCATGCCCTCTATAAAATATCCTTTCAGTAAATTTCTAAAGCTGGAATAACTAGATATCAGGGTGAGATTATGGGGATGGAACTACACTGTAGGAAAGGACTAAAAAGAGATGGAAAGTGAAGCAACAAAATAGCTGCACTGAACAAATCAATCTTTGATTAAATGCAGTTCATGTTTTGAAAGCTTGACTTTCATAACTTCAGGCTACCAGAAAATTGAATAATCATGGCATAGTAAATCCCTTATTTAGTGGTATCACAGAAAATAAGAGCTAGTGGACAATTGCTCCTTGTTTACAAGTATTTTTCCTCACTGCATTCACAAATGATAAAATGTACTGTGTACTTGTTGTACAGTGAACCACTGAAAGCGGCATATCTTTAATTAATATACAATGTTAAACTACTTTTGGTGAACACATACTCACACTGGGTATTATGTTGTACGCAATAAAACTCTTCATCCCTTTAAATTTACTTTTTTTCTCAGGGGAATTTATCACACATGTGAATGGGTCTGGGTGGCTACACCAAGTAATCCGCTTTCTGTCTTCCTGAAAATCACAAACAGAAAAACAGAGTTGACTAATGGGCACTTCTAATATAGCACCTAAAATTCAAACATTTACAAAAAATGAGATAGACACTCTACCATGATCGATACTTTCTCATTCTGTGGAACTTTTACATCTGTCTGTTGTGTACCAATGACAAAAGCTTCTCCACCAGATTTCACAAAGTACGAGAACCTTTAAAACAAAAGCAGTTCAATGGTATAGCAAGTCATCTTACAGTAAATTCTATTCAACAGCTAAACTATTGTATGTTGCTGTGCCTCTGTATGTTAATAGATCACAGATGACATCAAAGTGTGGTATAACCAAAAAGTGTCACACAAGGCTCAGCCAAGAGTGTTATTGAATGCTCTCACCACATTTTGACATATTCTGAGATCTTTTCCTGAACAGTCTCACAGCAACATGGGATCTATTTGTTTTATATAATAAAAAGCATCTATATTGTCTATGGTGTCAACAATTCTTTCCCATGTACAAGGCTGTTCAGTTGTTTTCCCTTCAAGTTACAGAGCAGATCAATCTGAACAGAATTGTCCAAGACATTTCTATTTTAACAAGGGAAAAATATGATCTTGCTTGTCCAAAAAAATGAGCTATTAACCATTTTTTTTCTGGAATTTGGACACAAAAAAAAATTATATTTTCCACATTTGCTGCCCAAACACATGTAGATTACGAGCGTGTTATTTTGTCAAGCAAAGAATAGCCATTGATTTTAAAGCAAATCCTACTTCTCACCTTGTCGTTGTTATCAGGTTTTTTCCGACAAATAAACTAATCATGATCCAGACAGGTAAAGTAAACAAGTGAGTTTAAAAGAAGTTTTTTTCCCCTAATTGTATTTGCCTACATAAGATATTAATTTTTTCTTTGATTGGATTTGGGAAAACTTTGTATTGGGTAGTGAGAAATTTAATAAAAAAAGCTCCTTATTCCATTATACAAAGGCTTTTCATTACCTGTTCATACTCTTTCGAACTGTCCCTGTTCTAACCATTCCTGAATTGGTTCCTCTCCTTGGTAATGATGAGATTGTTGACTCCTGGTCTCCCCCACTGTAGTTGCTGACAGTTTCATCATCATCCCAATCATCATCCCATCCATCTGCTCCATCCACTGAGCCCTGATTATACAGAGGTGCCGAAGGTAAAGGACGGAGGTTGTCAGACTGTGGTGCTGGATACTCTGCTAGCTGTGAAGCATAAGTATCAAGAGTTCCTTAGCCCTTCAACTCTCAAGATCTCTATAGCAATTCTACTTAACGTCTGTTATACATTTCTCAAATGTGTTGTGTGAATTAAGTGTCGAATCAAATTACAGTTCCCTAATATTGCAAATAAGAATAATTGTTCTTGTGATTATAGGGATGCAAGCTTGCAGGAGTGCTACATTTTGAAATGGTTAGCTTGCATTTTGTAAATGTTAGGCAAGGAGTGATAAACACTATAGCACAAAATACAATTTTGAGAAATGCAAAAAATGCTACTAAGTTTGGTGTAAGTCTTCAAAAGAAAAAAATGAACTTTTTGCCATTTGAATTACGTAAACCTGATAAATTCTAGTTAAAACTGGTAGCTTATCTTGATACAAGTAATCAAAACAATTGTAATAGAATGGTATCAGCAAAAAAACAGAATTCAAAAGCAACTGAACATTTATGCTACAATTAACAATTACTGGCCATAGACTCAGTGAATATTGCTGAATAATCCCTTCCACTTCAACTCAGGGATTATTCAAAAATATTCATCTCACCTTCAGCAAATAATTATTAAATTGGTTGTGATTCATCGTCATGGTGAACACGCTTTCATAATGAAGCATAATTACTTGTCTCAAAATGTGCTCATTTCTATTTTGGATTACAACATTTCAACATTGCTACTAGTCTTCCTCGGGCACTCAATTTGAGTGAGTATGCAACATTATAACATTTCTGCTCAGCTGTGATTGGCAACTTTTTGCAAAAGGTTCCCCAATCAAACCTTTCAATGAAATGAAGCAACCATTGCTGAACTTGCTATAGTTAAAAAGATTGAACAAATCTCCAGTGATTTAACTGGTTACAAATCTCATACCAGTTGAGACTTCACATAACATCTTGTTCTGCACATTAACACTAGTCAGTTCACTGAAACAACTTTTGGCAAGTGCAGATAAATTTAAACACTTTCTTAAAACTGCTAATAACTCCGCGTAAGTTTGATCCGCTAGAGAATTAATCCTATCTCTGATATGCTGGTGTCTCATCCCTAACGTACCATACATTTCTACAAGGTGACCTTAAAACGAGGTAAATATAAATACATTGCAGAGGGAAATGCAGAGGAAATCTTATGCCATAAGAGTGAGAGTTGTAAAGGTTGTAAAGGCGATCTCAGGTTTAAAGCTTAAAAAATTTCCTGAATATTGGAAATAAAGTACTCAAGACCAGACAGACGTTGCCAAATTCAATACGGGAAAACCTTGAGAAAAATTTAAAACGAAAGGTTTCTTTTCTTGTGATATGGAAATTCATACTCGGGTAAGACTCATCATAAAGAACAGTATACCTTTAGTTAATATTCTATACACATTCTGGGATATAAAATTACATGACAGTTAGCCTATATATCTCACCTCTACATAGGCCTCAGGAAACAGACCTCTAGATCCGTCGGGTCCAACTCCTTCCCACCAACCCTCTCCGACGTCCTGTCGAAAACAAAGAAATAACATAAATATTATATAATAGCAGTCCCAAATGCAGACGGTATCAGCGTTACAAAATAAGCGTAACCGCACGTACCGTTCTGGTCACGGTCAGAATTTCGTCCGCGTAGACGACGAGTTCTCCAGAAGGTCGATCACCTTCAAAATCGTACAGTACGCGTACCTACGGACGAATGTTGTTAGGGTGAGTAAATCTGAGGAAAAAAAGGAATAAAGTGAATGAAAGCTGTCGGAAGTGACGATAACGTACTTTACAGCCAGGTGAAACCGCCATACTGTAGGTAACCTATACCATTTCTGAGGAAAGATACTACTTTTAGCTGTGATATCACGTGAGCACACTCCTCCGATCGCGGACGCGGATATGCCGCTGGATTTCGTCGGCGTTACAGAGAAAAATGGGATTTCTGAACTTTTCAAAACAGACTTGACCTTAAATTCGTGTAAACAAAACACATGCAGTTTCGAAACCTTCCAGGAGACTCAGCTTTCTGTAGATCAGGATGCGAGAGCACTCAGAGTAGCGGTGCGTTGTCCAGGGCACATCGTGTTCGCCTATTCGACAACATATATGCTAAATATTTTCAGCTGTACAAAATAATTGCAGTCCTGCACTAAAAATTAAAAATGGCAGAGGTCGCGAACCAATACAGCAGCGAAAACTTGAAACGAAAACGCAAACACAGTCGAAACCCGCATTCAAAGGATTGGAATAAAAAGAAAAAAATTGAACCTGGAAAGGGAAACCGAGAAGTGAAAAGAACGCAGATTATCCAACCTCAATTACCGAAAACCGCCACAGAAATATCGTCTAACTGGAAGGCTTTGCAAGCGGTGAGCATTGAGCGAGACTCTTTTAATTCTCTGATTGTCAATATCTAAGCGTTGATTAACCTTAAATACCGTAAAGCTCTTTCTTGTCTGTTACCTTTGATATCCTAGTCCCATGCCCCGTGTTAATGAATTTCTTTTATTACCTCTTTGGATGATCGACTGCCAAGCACGTGGGGAATTGAGCTCACACAGTACAGCGATTGTCAAATTGCACTTCGTCCTCGTTGCTATAAGGATCCTTCTTGATAATGGCGCGTACAGTCAAGTGTTTTTAAAATTTTTGTTGAAGAAACATTCATTTTTCGTGGCTGCTGCCTCCTATTGGAGGCAAAGCGACTTATGTCGTTGAGATGAGTGAGTGAGGGTAACAAAAGCATTCCGATCTTGACCTAATTTTGACTTTGTGTTTCCCGGTGCTAGAAATTGTTTCTTTCAGAGAATCTGAGTAGATCGACATTTGCACTTAATGCACATTTGAGTTCTCTTCTCTAGCGAATTCTGGTGTATAGCCACTACGGCTGAAAACGGCAGATGATAAACATCTCACAATTATTTCAGGATTGTGCGCTGTTAACAAAAAAGTTTTCTTTGCAGAAATATCTTTATAAGTATGAACAACACATCATGAAATTTAGAGGCAAAATTTTTTTTCTTAGAAGAGAGAGCATTTTGCTGGTTAAATCACAAAATTATGTAGATCTAAAGATATAATATTTCTTGTTCTTGCTGTGACACCACAAAAGACAATAAACATCTCAAAATAATTCCACAGTGGCATCCACCAATGCATAATTAAAATCAAAACTTTTTCTTGCAGAAATTTCTCAATAGATATAATATATATGTTATGGAAGCTTGGAGGGAGATTGTTTTCTTTAAAAAGAGAGCATTTTACATTTTTTGAATCAGCGACTCATGCCGAAAAGAGTCACTAAATTTGACAAGCGAGGTAGTAGTGACATACATACCTTGAGTTATTCAGCAGAATGATTGAACAGTGGAACGGTAGAAAGGCAGAATGTCTTAAAACGAGGTGTGCCAGAATAACCCAAAAAAACAGAATGCCTTTTTGTATGAAACAAAAGTCTCAAGAAATGGGAATTGCAATAAAATGAGAAATTATTTATAATTAACAGGGGAAATTAAAAGAAGCACAAGTAATCATTGTTGTAGCTCAAAGAATAATGGAACCATGAGGCTTTTGAGCTAGCCCCCTTTAAATTATTATTGTGTTGCTATTCTTATTATTATGATTATTATTATTATTATTGTTAATATTGTTATTTGTTACTATTAAACTCTTAGTTGATTGTCACATGTAATTAGACATTATATTCTTGAGTCATCTTTCTCTTGTGGGACAGGGTAGTCATTAATATATGGGATGCAGCAGGTTTTCTGTTTTGCATGTGAGACAAATATTTAGCAACAATACATGTACCTTCTAGCGTCATTATGAAACCTCTACTTATTTTCAATGGTATAAAAATTATGCTATATCAGTGGCCACATGCAGTCTTTCACCGTCTCTATTCAACATGTTATTTCAAGAGATTACAACTGATGGCTTCTATATCATCAATTTGTCATCTAGTATGATGATTTATTTTAAAAATATTAGGCTTTGACAATTAGTTACAGGGTTAGAAATTATAGACTGACTTAAAAGAATATTTCAATTCAGAGAAGGTAAATTTTTAAATACCAAATGGCATATCAAGTAAGGTGATCATCAGTAGGCCAAATCAAGTCTATCTCATGTGATGTATTATCTCTTAGTTACTGGAGAAAGAGAAAAACGCCAAGGAAACCACTGGAGATAAAAAAAGAAGACAGAAGAAAACATTAAAGAGAACTCTGAAGCCAAATCTTAAATCAGAAAACACAACAAGGTGAGAACTTTTCATACAAAAGCTGTATTACCTAGAAAAAAATACCAAGTACAAAGATGTGGAAGAAAATATTAGGAAACACTATCATTGTCAACCCTTTCAACTCCCAGGATCTGATTGGAAATTCTCCTTTCTATCTGTTGTACATTTTCTTGTATTATAAGTTTAAAGAATTAGGTGTTACATCATGGAAACACTCTCTAGAAAGATGTGATTAGACCTTGAGGTAACATTATTTGGAGTGATCAAATGGGTTGCAAACCCTTTCAACTCCCTTGATGCGCTTGGAAATTCTCCTTTCCTCCCATAGCATATTTCTTGCATTTTTAATATACAGAATTTGGTGTCACATCATAATAACATTCTCCAGAACAAGGTTGTGAAGTCCAGTGGTAACAGTTGATTGTAAATTATTGAGATCAGGAGCATATATGTAAGAATTGTGCCATGGGCAGTTTGGGGAGTTACTTATGAGGTCTTGGGAGTGACAAGGCTATTTAGGCACAAACTAGAAGAAAACTGTCCAAGTTTTATCTGTCAGTCACACAGTGTGTGTAATCATGATGATCTCTATATTTACAATATATGTTTTTGTTGAATTCAAGTTCAAGTGAAGTGTGGTTTGATGATGTGGATCCAGAAGACCTTGAGGAAATTACTGGGAAAAAAACAAAGTCAAAGACAACAATTGGAGATCCACATGATATGCTAGTAACTGGCAGTCTGGAAGGGTTAGTTACGTTATACTAACAGTTTCATCTTGACTTGTATGGATAAAGAAAGAACCATGCTGTACCCCAGTAGTAGTGTAAGGAATGTACTTTGAATTTTAAGTTGTTTCTTTAACCCTTTAACTCCCATTAGTGACCAAGACAGAATTTCTCCTTACAATATCAATGCAATATCAAACAGATAAGTGATGAGAATTGAGAAAAATTTCAATTTGGGGATAATTAGTATTGTTGATCCAGTACATTAAGGAGAACTTCAAATTTGATCTGGGAGTTAAAGGGTTAACTGAAATGCATGTTCCAAAATTGCCTCTAAATCAGCAAAGGAAATGATTATTTGAAGCAATAAAGGAAAAAATTATTTTGTGTTATCTCCTGTTGTATAATTAATTTTTGCTACTCTATATTCTATCACTTTGTTGCTAAAAACTTTTTCACCAAAGATCTTACACATCGAGAATGAAATGCTAAGAGCAAAATTTTTAGTGGGTACCTAAAATAAATAGGCTTCTTTGCTTTCTACTTTTATAGTGTTTCAACTTTAATTTCGTAAAATGCTGGAATGGAGATAGAACATGGAGAGACATAAGAGCCCTTGACATAACTTTAACCCCCCCCCCTCTCTGTGGCAGGGGATGTTTTATACATTTTGTGGTATTCATCAGCCACTAATTTTAAAATTATGTGATAGGATAACAAAAAGGATTGCACTGGACTGTGAAATGGTTGGAGTTGGGTCTGATGCTAAGAGGCACATGTTGGCACGAGTATCCATCGTTAACTCACATGGTCGCGTGGTCTATGACTCGTTCGTGGCACCACAGGAGAAAGTGGTTGATTACCGCACTCACGTCAGTGGAATTAGACCTGAAAATTTAAAAAATGGTCAGTACTAGCTCACATACTTATTTTTGTGTACCAGAGTAAATGTTCCTTGTTTTGAAACACTTCATGTAGGCAACTGTCATTATTTAGGATTCTATTCTGCATTCTTACACAGGATATTACTGAGATTCTGACAAACCTCCTTCGCTTCTGTTTTTGTCAATGAAAGGAAATAATATTTATGTTGATTGGAATGGATGAACAGGAAAACATTTGGCTCAAGGTCATGTCATGAACGATGTAAAATTATCAAAGTGATTGTTATAATGCAAATGTTGTGATTTTAATATACATTTATATCCAGTTTGAATTTTTTCTCCTCTTGTTTCAAACTCGTAATCATGCTTTAAGCTTTCCCTATAAAAGAATCATGTTTAACTAGGATACAATTCATAATTCATTGAATAAATATTAAAAAAAAAACATGATTGTGTATATATTTATGGCCTGTAGCTACTGGTCTTGTAAATGTTTCTGCTTGTTTTGTGTATCACAATTTATTGAGGAATTGTTGTTTTCATGTCAAGCTCCAGAATTCAAGACAGTTCAACTTGAAGTTTCAAGAATACTTAAAGAGAAAATCCTTGTTGGACATTCCTTGAAGAATGACCTTGAGGTGAGTTTGGTATAAGACTACAGCTTGGTAGTGGCTTTAACCCTTCACACCTAAGCATCAGTCTGTATATTCTCTATACTGTTCTCCATACAATGCCAAAGGTACTGACAAGGAGAATTTGTTTAACATTCAAGATCTTCACAGCTAAGAACACTACTGAACTAGTAGTTGAAATAAGACCTGAAAAAATTTTCAGGCCCGTACGGGATTTGAACCCATGACCTCTGCAATACCAGTGCAGTGCTCTACCAACTGGGCTAACAAGCCATCTGGGAGCTGGTCAATATGTTGGGTTCAAATAAACCATCCAAGTGATGAATAACACTGGAGTGCAAATATATGAATTTCATATAATTATCTAAATTATCTAAAATCATTATTCAAGATCTCCCCAAGTTTGAGATCATTTCCTTTATTCTTGTGATCTTAACGGTGCTTTCAATGAGATTTGAAGTTGGTGGCTACCTCAGTAAAGTACTTCATGAATAATAATATGGACAGCAATTTTGCTCTTGCTAGCCTATTAGTTCCATTCAGAATAAAATGGCTTTAAACAGAGTTTTCTGTTTTGAATTTTGGTAAATGGTCATTGAATATTATCCTCCTGGTAACTATTGTTTTACTGATTGCTTACTTTTAATCAAAATCTTTTATTTACTGACATACAAACCTGCTGCCTGATTTTTTCACAAAAAGTCCTCTGAGAGGACATATGGTTACTGGTTACAGAAATTTGAGTCTGTTTATACTTGTAAACGCAAACATATATTTTGGTGGAAATGTGGTATATGGTGTGATAAGACAACAACAATAACTTTTAGCAGAACTTGTTTATAAAGGTAACGGTCACTTGAAAGAAATAAAAAACCTCGAGGTGTTTTAGTAGGTGAGTTTGTTTGAAAGCTTTCAAAATGTCACAGAAGGATCCAGAATGGTGGTAACTGTCTAACATCATATAATACTTAACACTTTCAGCAGGCAATCTACAAAAATAATACTAGGTGATATCCTGTGTGCATTAAATTTCTGTATGCACATTTTCTCAAATTTTGACCCTACAATCCAAACCTCTCTTTGCCTGGCCAAGCCAGATTCTGTTGTTTTCCATTTTTTTTAATTCACAAGTGCTTAAAGTATTTGTATTGTAATGCCATGAGCTTTGTTTACAGAGTTTTCTTCTGCTTGCAGTCTTCTGTTTGAAAAGGCTGAAGGCATTTTTCGTGATTGCAAGTTTTGTTTTGTTTTGTTTATTTTATTGAGAGAAATTAAAGATATGCAGCAGTGAACTTCACCAGTTTTATTTGTTGGAAAAACCCCAGAATTATTCTCATCTGCAGAAGTGTTCCATTATTGATGGATGCAACTGCTATAAATGTTTACATAAGATAATTGCATTAAATCAATCAGCCAATTAATTTTAGTGGTCTCTATGGCTCGCATTTCATATCAGATGATAAACAATTGTTGAGTCGCCGATTGCTGAAAAGTCACTTACTTACTCAGTTATGTTCTGGCTAACCAGTAACCATAAGAACAAAGTCTTCTTCACTTTTCTTAGCAAATGCAGCATAAGGTTAGACGCTAAGTGGTCAATGGCTGTTTTTATTTCTCTCTTCAAAGCTAAGCCTCTGTGAAGTGTTTTTAAGCAAAGTTAACATCTTTGCAAAAAGTTCCAAATTTGATTTACTTGTGCCATCAACAAGCATGTTATTTTAACAAGTTTGATTTTCAAGTTTTTTTTTACTAGCAGTTGAGAACAACTGCTGTTGTTTTATTTACCTAAAAATATTTGACGATTTTAATTCAGCTAAAAGTTGTTTTAAATTTTTTTAAGTAACAGACAATGTGTACATCTACATCATGCATGGTGAATTTTTGTAGAACACACAAAGGAAAAAAAAAGAGGAAAAAAGGAAAAAAAGGAAAAAAAAAACGAAAACTGATAGTGAAATAATGAATCTAAAAAAAGAGACCACAGTATTTTAAAAATAAATGGGGTGAATACTCCAATACTAAATTGACAATTATTTTCTAAGTTATTCATTAATTTTTTTTTGTTCTGTAAATCTGATATGGACATAATTAAGTATACTCAACAGAATACCAGCCAAAGCTACGGCAAGTGCTGGGTGTTATTGAAAGGACTGCTTAATGTTTGATTAAGGGGTGATTATTGTGAGAGAAAATTAGATGCTAGGCACTCTTAGGGGGCAAAGGATTAAACAGGTACGGAAGTTTGTCACAGGGTTAAAGTTGATTTTTTTCTTTTTTTTTCAACTTTAGGTACTGCTACTTGATCATCCATGGAAAAATATACGAGATACTGCCAAGTATAAACCATTCCAAAAACTAGTTAAGGTAAGTAAACTGTTCTTTGTGCTAAATCCTTTCAATGAAAGATAATTTATTGTGGGTCTGTAATTTGCACTAGATATAGTGTATACAGTCATCTTAAATGACTGTTGTATGGGTATACTGACTAATTTTGCTTCAAACACTGTGAAACAGACAGTGTTCTCCTTTACCAGCTTATGAATGCCTAAAATTGCTTGGTTGTTAGTTCAACAGGTGAAAGGACTTTCCTATCAGTTTGAAAAGTTATTTTTTAATCACCTGTTATGCTTAAGATAAGAAAGAACACAAAACAGAAACTAATACGATCAATCTGGCAAATCAGACTTGAGGTTAAATTTTATTGGAGATATTGAGAACTTAAGAGTAAGCACAAACAGCTTCAAGTGTGCAAAAATGTTTAATGAGCTGAGACTGGTTTTAATTTGCATCTGATTGATGCAGAGGAAAGAGGGAGTACTTAAAAACAATACTCGATTCAAAATTTTAGGGTTTAAACTATAATACTGATGTTATTTAATTCTTATTGGTGAGAAATGATCAGAAAGTTTCTGTGATTCTGCAATAGTTTGTAGTTTCTATGGTTACTGCCTCCTTATAGTAGGCAAAGCCACACTGTTATTAGATGAGTGATGGTAAGTAACAAGAAAAGCTAAACCTCACCAGACTCTGACCCTCACCAGAGTACCTTGTAGTTAAAGATTATTGGGCTCAGTATACACTAAAGAAAGAAGAGTGTATTTGAAACAAAATTACTTTGCATCTAAGAACACCCAAGATAATATTTTCTCTATGGTTACCATTTCAATCAATGAATTATGCCCTATACAACTAAAGATATAATTTTTCAGTTCTTGTTGTGACACAGAACGATCTTAATGGATGTAATTGGTGCGTCATGAAAACTATGAGGAAGTTGTTTTTCTTTAACCCTTAACTCCCACGAGTGACCAAGACTGAATTTCTCCTTACAATATCAATACAATATCAACCAGATGAGTGATGAGAATAGAGAAAAATATCAATTTGGGGATAATTAGTTGATCCAATACAAAATTCTTTGAACTAACATTACAAGAATTTTATGGTTGACTGTAAGGAGAATTACAAATTTGATGTGGGAGTTAAAGGGTTAAAGACAGAGTATTTCACTGTTTGAAACAGAAAATTATACACAGTAGATCCAAGGATGTAATTTTTGTGGCCACTGCCTCCTACCAGAGGCAAAGCCACATATGTTGCCAAAATGAGAGAGTGAGTGTTGGTAAAGTGTTGAGTGAGTGAGTTTTGGTTTGCTTCAGAGTACTACAGAAGATGATAACACATCTCACAATCATCTCAGGATGATTTACAATTATTATAGATAAGAAACACAGCTTAATAATTATTGTACCCCTGAGGATTAAGAAACTGTGAGGCTTCCAAGCAAGCCCCTCAAAATTATTATTATATTACTATTGTTATCATCATTACTATTGTTAATATGACCGCTTGGTGCCATTCAATATTTTTTTAATGTCAACTAGGTACTTTATTTTTTAATCATCTTTCTTATGTGGAACAGGGTACTCAGAAATATGTTATATGTAGCAGGTTTTCCATTTTGCATGTGAATACAAATCTTCTGCAACACTAGCTTCTAGCATCATTATACAATCTCTATTTCTGTTTAATGCCATACAAATTGTGGTACTGTATATCAGTAGCCACATGCAGTCTCAGACTGCCTACTTTCAAAACTTAGCAACACAATCATAGTCATTTACTATTTGTATCATTTGTTTATCTCTAGACTAAAACCCCTTCACTAAGAAAACTTGCCAAGCAGTTATTGAATATCAGCATTCAAGAAGGAGAACATTCTTCTGTAAGTATTCATGGTGTAAATACTTTCTGTAGTATAAGGAAGAGACTTGGTATGAAAAGTGAAGCAGGGAATTAGTCCTTTAACCCAAAAAAGTGATTGGCTTCCAATATCTCCTTGCAATATCACTCTTTAATCACATGTAATGGTCAAGAGAATAATGCAAATGATCACCAAATGAAGAAGCTCCTGATTGTTGAACAAATTCTCCTTGCTAATAACACAAGAAATTAATAGAAATCAGTGCAAAGAATGTAGATGCTAATGTTAGGGTATAGAGGGTTATGAAGGTGAAGCTCTGAGGAATCCATTTTCTTGGATTTGTTTTCCCTAACTGATCAAGGAATAACAGCCAAATTAACTGGCAAAATTTTCATATTAAAAACTTGCATCTTGTGTGAAATTTTGTAATTCACAAGCAAAAATAATGCTGTTTTTATTGATGTTAGGCCAATTTTGAACAAAAACACCTGGAAAAAATTCACAATCCTATTTATATTTATATTTATACCAGGTACAAGATGCACAGGTAGCAATGAAGCTCTACACTTTGCACAGAAAACAGTGGGAAAGACAATTACATGAAGCTAAAGTAAAGCCTTCTAAGAAAGCACTTGTAAATACACTTGTCACTTCAAGTCATGGTAGATAACAGAGTTACAAGGCATGTGAAACAGCAGTGCATGATGGGATTGATCGCAAAATGGAAGACACAATGTTACCAAGTAAAATGAACATCATCAAGGTCATTTTTCACTGGCAGAGGAATTGTCTCGGAGAATTTTTTGTCAGAGAATTTACAGAGTTTTCCCCCTGGCATGGTTATTTTCATTGAGTATCAGGCATCAGAGACTGGTTTTTGGACACAGCAAGGTTTAACAAGAACCTCAGTTATTCCACTTGGAGGAGCAGGTGTGAATGAAGCATTTCAAGTCTCCTAAAGAGAAGTTTAACTGTCCATTTTACTATAAGATAGTCAAGCGAAGGCGATCATAAACTAGGGCACCATCAGCAATCAAATTGAACCTCTATTGTACCAATTCAAATTGTTTATACTTGAAAGAAGGATTTAATATAATTATTTTGAGATAACAATTCATGATATTATGCTATACAATACAGAACTAATGCAATGGTAACATAGCAAAGTTGAGTCTCATTGTATTGTAAACAGTTTGATTTTGTACTGAATAGTTTGCAGAGCAGCACAAATTCAACTCTAAATTTAAGCACATGTAGGAAGGTGAATTGGAACAGAATTCTACTTAGAATTTTTAATTACATTTAACTGTTTGTAAATATCAGGGTAAAGAACAAGTGAGGGTGCTCTGATATAATTTTTTCCTTAATATTTACTAGAGTTGCTTGATTACAATATCGTGGTAAAAGAAAACAGCAAAAAGAAAAAAAAGGGGATAATGATGAAAGGCAATTACTTGGGAAAACATAATTTCCTTAGGGGCAGTGCTCACCCCCTATGAGACAGTTGATTAAGAAAATCAAAAAATGGAACAGGAAACATTTGCAAGTCAGTTTGAATTATATGTTTATTAATTAGGAGTTCAGGTTAAAAAATCATCCCTTCAGGTAATCTACAATCAAAGAAATTACAGAAAAGAATCCTTGAAAAATTCAGGCTTGGACAGGTTATTAGTTGGGCACTTGTGGTTGGAAGTAGTGCTTAGCTAGTATTTGTGCGCCACGGGCTTCTTTTCTGCTTTTTTTTAATTGAACCTCACAGATTAATTCGCAGCTTCAACATTTTCCAACAATTTCCTCAAATGTGATTGGTGCATGGGCTGCTTTATTTTTCATTTATCATTCTGTACAATTGTAATCTGACAGTTAGCTGTCATCGGACAGGCTTCCAAACAAACTTTGAAACTTTTTTTTACTCGTATCTGACACCTGTCAATTAGAAAGCACGTAAGAAAAAAAAGCGCATGTACGCTTTTTAAAAATAAAAATGAGAAAAAAAATGACAAATGACCGAATTGAACGGACACGCATAGACTTACCGGAAGCGTATTTGTAGTAGGCCTGAAAACTTCGCTCACCGTCTAACAACAAATAAATTATTAGAGAGGATACTAATAATAAATGAATAAAAATTCCATCGATTAATTCAATTGTCAACAAATACCTTGCAGTTTTAACTTTCTAAGTTACTTTTGTGAAGGATTAGAGTCAATTACAATCGGTTTTTATGCCGCGTGTCAACCAATTTAATAATGACACATTTGCTACCACAAATTAATTTCGAAAACAATTTTTGCTGGCAACCGAAGTGATTTGAGAGAGAGAAAAAAGTTATTAATCGGCTTCATTTGCTAAGATTAAACCTTCCTTGAAAATATGCTTAGCCGGCAAAACGAAATTTATGATGAAAAATGACAATGCAGCTAGGGATGTACTCGGTGACCCACGAAAACGTGATTACCGTGCCCACTTGGGCAGAGCTAAGAATAATTCCGGGCCGCACGAAGAACCAATTAGGTTGCAGGATTTGCCATTGTGCCCTCAAAAAAACAAATAAACCTCAAAAATTCTCTTGGGAACTCCAGCAGCAAGTAGTTACTCCGATACCCGAATCATCGTTTTTAAATTGATTTCAGCACTGTTGACGAGTCTAGTAGTTAAGCCGTAGCAAACCTTAACTTTTCCTCCCTCAAAGTTTCTTAAGTTTTTCGTTTCTGTTAAAGAATCTGGCCAGAATCAAATGGAATAAATTAAATACTAACCCACCGATGAAATATAAGTAAAGAAATGATCCTTGCAAGTCAGCTGCATGCAGTTAGAAAAAAAAGGTTTAAAAAAGAAGCATTCAAGAATTGCGGCTTCGACAGGTCTAAGATCTCTTGGTTTTTGTTCTAAATTGTTTGTGAGAATAAAGGCATAAAAAAACTAAGCATGATTGCATGACTCTCGCATTTTCCCTTAGGCGTTTGTAATCAGCGTTATGCAAAAATCTCTCTAGATGTTTAAAAATAACGCGTGGTTGAAGTCATAAAAGGGGGCTGGGTAATGAAGTGTTGACAAACTTCCCGATCGTAGCTCACCCGGAAAGTACTTTGCTTTCCAGCGTGGAAGACGTCTTGTTGAACACTCACAAGACGGATCAGGATCTCGGGCCAACGGTACGTTGACATTCTGAGGTTTTGTTGATCTTCAATCTTCCACTGATACATTTTCTGCCCGATGAATGCTAGATGTGATCAAATATAAAGTCTCTGTTGTGAACGTTAATTGATGCCGCATTATTTCATCCTAACTTCAAGAGACATTTTGAAGAACCCTGATGCGGTGATGTCCCAATCTCTCTTATCGATCACAATTCTTGTTAGGTAACTTTCGATTCAACCCACTCGTGTAATAATTGACTAGAAGGGGGTAACTTTCCAAAGAAATTGTGGTTCTGTGTCGGTGGGAGAGTCTATCGGGGTAATTAAGTGTTATCAACTGAGTTGATAACGTAAATTGGCCATCGTAAAGAGTTTAAAGGCTGACGTTTCGATGCGGTGATGTCCCAATCTCTCTTATCGATCACAATTCTTGTTAGGTAACTTTCGATTCAACCCACTCGTGTAATAATTGACTAGAAGGGGGCAACTTTCCAAAGAAATTGTGGTTCTGTGTCGGTGGGAGAGTCTATCGGGGTAATTAAGTGTTATCAACTGAGTTGATAACGTAAATTGGCCATCGTAAAGAGTTTAAAGGCTGACGTTTCGAGCGTTAGCCCTAAATCACTCTTACGAAGGGCTAACGCTCGAAACTTCAGCCTTTAAAATCTTTACAGTGGCCAATCTACGTGTTCTCAACTCAGTTAATAACACTAAATTGCCTTGTGAAATAATTGGCTTGCCATAAATACATGTATGAATAAACGTTGGGTGGGTTTAGGAATGTTAATGACTATTTGATCTATTTGATCGTAGCGAAGACCCACGGTGCTTAACAATTTTCAGTTTGGAAGACATCTTGCTGAACATTCACAAGACGGATCAGGATCTCGGGCAAACGGTAAGTTGACACCCTGAGATTTGGTTGATCTTCTTGGTACACATATGAGTTGAACGCAGTTGAATTCCAGAACATATCACCGAACTTCTGCTTCATCAGAGCACGATTTAAGTCATGCTTGTTATGTTAAGCAGAGCAAGTTAAGTTGGTAATTAATCTTGAACATGCTTCGCTTTGAATCACCTCCTTAACAAAGACGATAGAATGAAAATATATAAACAAGAAAGATTAGAGACAAAGTTGAATCACGGCTCTGACCCTTACCGTCGGTTATGTCTTCAGAAATTAAGTTCTGTCCATTAAATCTCTTAATGTTTATCAGTGGACCTTGATTAAGAAGTTGCAGAATGGCCCCGCTCTATTTTTTACGAATCGAAATAAAAATCTCTGATTCTTATCTGAGGAAATCGGAGGCTGAGTTCGCCTATACGTTGTCTTAGATCATTATTCTTAAGCATTGGATAGCTATTACACTGATATATTTTCTGCCTGATAAATGCAGGATGTGACCAGATGTGGTCAAATAAAGTCACTATTGTAAACGTCAATTGATGTTAATTATTAATCAAGATGAAATACACTCTAACATCCATAAAGCACCGCATGTATGGAGACATTTTGAAGAACCTTGATGCAGTGATGTCTCAATCCTCACAAAGTTGTGTTAAAAATTAAAACATATAATTTGATAACAGAGCAAATTAAGTTTGCTTGGTAATTAATCTTGAACGTTTCGCTTTGAATCACCTCCTTAACAAAGACGATAGAATGGAAATATATAAACAAGATAGATTAGAGACAAAGTTAAATCAAGACTCTGACCATTACCATCGATCATATCTTCAAAAATTAGGTTCTGTCCTTAATATCTCTCGATGTTCATTTGGACCAGCATTATTAAGTCGCAGAAAGGCCCCGCTCTTCGATATTTTGTGTGTCATGTTTACGAATCGAAATGAAAACTTCTGATTCCTATCTAAGGAAATCGTAGGCTGAGTTGGCTTGTACGCCGTTTTGGATCATTATTGCCAAAAGAAGTTTCCCTGATCGAGTTTCAATGCTGCAGTTAATTTGATCTACTAGTTTAAAGCTGTGGAATGCACAAAACTCCCTGCCTATTTTTATTTAGGTGCAAAAGGTCTTTTTGTGCAATAGGAAAAAAATAATCCCTTAAATATACAACATTCTTTCACATGAGAATCAGATAGCTATTACACTGATATGTTTTCTGCGTGATGAATGCTAGAGTGAGATGTGGTCAAATAAAGTCACTGTTGTAAATGTTAATTGATGCTGTTAATCAAGATTACTTTCACACTAACATCAATAAACTACTGCATGCGTAGGGACATTTTGAAGAACCTTGATGCAGTAATGGCCCAATCTCACATATCGATCACTGAAACTCGATGGGTAATTGTGAATTCAACTCACTTTTGTAATGCTTGGCTTGCCATAATAGGTGTATAAATAGATGGTGGGTGGGTTTTGGAATGTTAATAACTATTTGATCGTAGCTGAGACCCACGGTGCTTTACAATTTTCAGCGTAAACGATATCTTGCTGAACATTTACAAGACGGATCAGGATCTCGGGCAAACGGTAAGTTGACGTTCTGAGATTTTGTTGGTCTTCTAAGTACACATTTGAGTTGAGTGTAGTTGAATTCCAGAAAATATCGCCGAACTTCCGCTTCATCAAAGAACGATTCAAGTCATGCTACTTATTTCAACAAGGAAAAACCACTTCTGTCTTTGTGCTCGGTTGAGAGGAAATGCTCTCATTATCCACCACAAGGAAATCGTAGGCTGAGTTGGCTTGTACGCCGTTTTGGATCATTATTGCCAAAAGAAGTTTCCCTGATCGAGTTTCAATGCCGCAGTTAATTTGATCTACTAGTTTAAAGCTGTGGAATGCACAAAACTCCCTGTCTATTTTTATTTAGGTGCAAAAGGTCTTTTTGTGCAATAGGAAAAAAATAATCCCTTAAATATACAACATTCTTTCACATGAGAATCAGATAGCTATTACACTGATATGTTTTCTGCGTGATGAATGCTAGAGTGAGATGTGGTCAAATAAAGTCACTGTTGTAAATGTTAATTGATGCTGTTAATCAAGATTACTTTCACACTAACATCAATAAACTACTGCATGCGTAGGGACATTTTGAAGAACCTTGATGCAGTAATGGCCCAATCTCACATATCGATCACTGAAACTCGATGGGTAATTGTGAATTCAACTCACTTTTGTAATGCTTGGCTTGCCATAATAGGTGTATAAATAGATGGTGGGTGGGTTTTGGAATGTTAATAACTATTTGATCGTAGCTGAGACCCACGGTGCTTTACAATTTTCAGCGTAAACGATATCTTGTTGAACATTTACAAGACGGATCAGGATCTCGGGCAAACGGTAAGTTGACGTTCTGAGATTTTGTCGGTCTTCTAAGTACACATTTGAGTTGAGTGTAGTTGAATTTCAGAAAATATCGCCGAACTTCCGCTTCATCAAAGAACGATTCAAGTCATGCTACTTATTTCAACAAGGAAAAACCACTTCTGTCTTTGTGCTCGGTTGAGAGGAAATGTTCTCATTATCCACCACAAGCTGCAGCAAATTTTAGTTTATCCTCACAAGTTTGTATTAAGATCAATTTTCGATTGATTTTGATCGATTTTCAGTGCGATAGCTTATTTAATCTACTAGTTTAAAGCTGTCCAATGCGCAAAACTCCCTTCCATTTTAATTTAGGTTCGAACCAGCTGCAGTTAAAAAAGTTAAGAAAGAAGCATTTATGAATTCTGGCTTCGACAAGACTTGGATCTCCCAAGTTTTGATCACTGAAACTCGATATGTAACTTTGAATTTAACCTACTTCTGTAATACTTGGTGGCCATAATACATGTACGAATAAACGGTGGGTGGGTTTGGAAATGTTAAAAACTTTGTGATTGTAGCTAAGACCCACGGTGCTTACAATCTTCAGCTTGGAAGACATCTTGCTGAACATTCACAAGACGGATCAGGATCTCGGGAAAACAGTAAGTTGACAACGTG